TGTTGTGAAAATTAGAGAGCAAAGTCCTGATTTATTCCCAAAAAGTTGCACAAAATTTAAAAAAATTGAAAACATTCACACAAAAAGTTGCATGTTTACAGGAATTAAGGTAAAGTTTATAGTTTCAAGATGTTGCGATAACTTGTTGTGGTTATTCTATATGTGAGGATATCAAAGGAGACAGCTGCCTGACCTTTTTCCCCTTTGAAAAAATTTTGATTTCTCTTCAAACATTAAGTGTCATTTTCTTAAATTCAGGTCTGTCTTTTCAAAGATTTCAGCTGTTTTGCCTTTTATAATATGACCCTGATGCTAGTCAGACTTTCACTGTCCTGTAGCAGTTTGAACAGTTTCACTGACTACGACGAAAGACAAACAACAAAGACCCTCAAACCTCCGCCACAGCGTGTACAGTAAACAAAGAGCAGATTTTGGGGCTGTTGCATTATGATGTCGGTCTATGACTGTGAAGAGCCTGCGCTCAGTTTCTCTGTGACCCAGAATGACGGTATGGAGGCTGACTTTTAAACTTCAAAGCTCTCATGTGGATGAGTGACATTTTAATCTCTCATATCTACGCACATAGAACGCCTCACTCTCTGCTTCGTCAGCCGTGTTTGTTTGGTTTTTATTCCTCAGAAGTGGAAAAAAAAAACAAAAAAAACGGTACCACCAACAACATTTGAACGAACGTGGGTTCACGGAGAAAACTTTTGAAGCTCTGCTGTAACTCCTAATCAATCTTGGAATTACAAAATATGCGTTTTGAATGGAAAGTGAGTCTCTTAGTGAAGCAACTTCGTTACCAAATAACTCAAAGTGGAAATGGCGGAGCTATACCTGAGGGGGAAATGTGGTAGTTTGCTCAGGAAGTAACTGAATAACCAAATTGACTATGTAAAGTTTGAGGGGGGAAACAGGCAGTTTAAATGCAGCACTTTTTCAGCTGTGTCTGAGTCCTTTCCTTCGAAATAGTGATTATTTTCATCCTTGTAAATCAGCATTTTCTACACACAGTTTAACGCAGTTTAAGTGGCAGATCTTATGTTTCCTTGGACAACTTTCAACAAGTTTGAGCACATTTTTGAAGAATAAGTAAAATAGCGAAAATTTGCATTGCTAAACTCATTGATTAAACTGAATTTATTATAATTGTACCTATAATTTTGTCCTGTGAGAGGTTATTTTTTTACACTTTCAATAAAAGTTTCAGATCAGTAAAGTAAAAGTCATGTTTTATCTCCAAGATATAGATTCAGGTAAATGTGTCTCCCTTTCTCACCAGTTGTTTAAACTTTATAAAAGATCCTTTCCTCCAATAATGGAACCTGACATGCATGACAGTGACTTCCTCTTCCTCTCGGTGTTCTTCATCACTTTCTCTCTCAGCTAAAAGTAGGTCAACAGGGATTTCCTGCCCTCAGACGTTTTCTTTCCAGCCAACACCTGGCCTTTGTAATACCACTTCAGCGGGAGGAAAGAGAGAGTACTGTATATAACACATGGGATCAAAAGTCACAGCAGCTTGCAGGTTTTCACTACAGTTAGACCATTATCAACCTCGGTGTGGAGGAAAAAAAAAAAACAGAACTTCAACTTTCACAGAGAAATTGAACGACTCTCCTGAAGATTCAGCTGCAGCTTCAGGCTGGGATTTTAAAAACACACAAAAACTACACACGCATTTAAATGTCTCTAATTTCCCCCCAATTTAAAGTTCGCTCAAGAGATTCTTTATGAAACAAAAGCCCGCCATCAGGCCTCTTTTTTCAGTATGAATTATTAAAAACCCCAGGCTTACCTTTGCATTTCTAATTATGCGATGCAAAGAGAAGAGATGGCTCTCCAACTCTGCAGGCACCCAGTGAAAGTGTCATTCTGTAGTAGATATCCCAACACAGAAGAAAAAAAAAAGAAGTATAAACAGAGGCCAAGTTCACAAAGTAGGTTAAAGAAGAGAGCTCAACTGTTTAAGTGACTTTTGCCAAAAGTGATGTCTCCTCTCAAACTTACTGACATGTTTTGGAAACACAGAGATGCAGAAGTATCACAGAATTAATCTTATTTGCTTATCATCACTCAAAGCCACCAGAAGCCCACACCCACAGTAACCATGAAACTATGCAAATTAGGATTTTGCTTCATAAAACAGCAAGTATCTTTGTGGTTTTCGTAGTAGGGTAATAGAGCTAAAAAGCTTTTAATTCAACTTCTAAGTATTGTCATTTGAATACTTTTTTAGTCTGTGGTTTAAAGTGGGCACGGTCTTTTCTATGAATCTAGAGTATTAATCCCACAGGTATGAAACCAAATCTGATAATGAAGGTATGTTTTTGTGTAATGTGCAGTTTCTGCACACCTGTGTCTTTCTGCTGTACTAACCGAGCTAATCTTTTGAATTAATATGTCATATTGGACAGAAATGAAGGCATGCTGTCCACTCTTTTTACCCTATATAAATTTGTATATTAAGGCTGCATGATATTGGAAAAAACTAACATTGCAATTTTTTTCAAACCTGCGATATATATTTTTTGCGATATTAAAAATACAGAAATTCTCACCAGATGACCTGAATAGCAGTTTATAGCTATGCTGCACAGCTGAAGTCTTGTGGACAGTTAACCTGATCTTACCTCTTTTTTGTTAATGTTAGCAGAACGGCTTCTGTCTGACTCAGAGATATTTTTTAGCTTGTATTGTTCTGGGACGTTATTGTGGCAACAGATGAACACAGAACACATGTTTTGGTCGACATCATCCTCCTTGTAACCAAAATAATTCCAGATAACTGACTTTCCTTTTCTTTTTGGCAACACTTCTTCCTTTTTCAGTGGTTTTCTCTTGTTCGTTGCTCATTTTGCAATCGTCGTTGTTGTTACCGGTGTTGTGCCAAGAAACGCATGCCCGCCGAGAATTGCTTGCACCTCGCAAAGTAAAGTGGTTCACGGAAATGTACAGTATAAAACCCGTACAATTCTTAGTGGTTGGTTAAACAATGATGAGTAAAGTTCTGAAAGTAACACTCTGCGAGAATGCGTTTCTCGGCATCGGTAGTGCCAGCGACTCACTCTGCGTGCAGGCCATGTGCAGGAGCGTGGTTTCCTCCTCTCTGATTTTGATTGATGGCTGGCAGAGTTGTCCGATTGGCAACTGAGTAAAGAACGGTACAACAGCTAACTGTTTACAGTGAGTCCATCACAATATCAGATTTTTACCTAAAGATTATTGTGGCCATAAAATATTGCAGTAACAGTATCATGGGGATATTTGTGGAAAAACTTTAACATCAAACAACTCACTCAGTCAGACTTTATAAACAGTCCTGATAATTGTAATTACCTTACACGTTTCCATCGATTTCTAAGAATGTTCAAATTTAGTTTTTATCATCAGCCTCTTCAAACTCTTCAAGTTTAAGACTTTTGGATTCACGACTCTTAAACCTCAGTTTTAAAATTGCTGAGTCATCTCTCATACGGCTGCTACCGCTAGCTCACTAGCACTCTGCTTCTTCTTCGTCGCCTATCTATCTCTTTCATGACGCTCTAATAAACAGCCGGGGGGTTTTAGAGATCGGTTTCACAGCTACAGCTGTTGTTCCTGTAAAACATCTTCTTCCTTTTTTGCCAAAATAGCTTCTTCAACATTGAGTTTATAGCTTTGATAACGAAGATTAAAAATCTTGTTCTATTGTGCTGTTTGCTAATAACCACGATATGAAACAAAACATTTTATTGCTTCCTCTCAGTGAGACATTAAAGCACCATGGTTTCTGCTTCTCAGACAGGCCACCTCACACTTAGTCTTGCAGGCTGTATGCTATGCAGATGAGACAGGAAGTTGTCAACAACAAAAAAAAAATCTAAAAAATGTAAAAATTCAAGATAGGTTTAAGATAATTCATGAGGGTTTATTTAATTTCAATGACGAATGAGTTCTTGCACGCGATTATCTTTCTACATGTGGCGGCGAGCTTTTCAGCTGCTTTAAAGATCTAAAGAAAAGGAAGGACTGCAGATCCTTCGGGCCACTTTTGAACATCAAAAGTTAAATGGTCGGTTCTCACGTTGACTTTCTCTCCCCAAAGACTTGTTGCAAGGTTTCAGTTCACCCACGGTGGGTACGTCCGATCAAAGCGACAGTGGTTGAGGGGGAGGGGACTAGATATTGCGGCGAGTTAAACAAAATAATTCACACACAGCCGATTGTGGGATCACGGCAAGCTTCTTAGAACAAAAAAGCTAAAAAAAATTACGAGGGGGAATACTCACCTTCTCCCTGTCGCTTTCCTCTTCCTCTGCTACTTTCTCTCTGCAGTCCTCCCTCCTTCACACACCGACACACACACCTGCGCAGCATTGGAGCCTGTTGGTACACACTCACTCTGACAGTCATACTGAGAGGACGATGCTGTAAGATTCTGAGAATATTATGCTTTTCTATTGCTCACTCTGGTCTTTCTGAATGAATAATTTTCCGTCTTAGAGACACTAGTGAGAAATTAAAAATATGTCAGGGTTCAAAAGCCTCTCTAAGAATCCAGAATACGGAGAAAAATTCAAAAGAGAAAGCTCGGTTAACAACCAGAAACCTATGATTCAAAAAAATCAACCTGCCTGCAGAAAAAAACAAACTTGTGAAAAAAAACCCACACAGTCTTGAAAGAGTCGGTTGCACCACTTTTCCGACCTCTCTGGATGGAGTAGCAACTCTCTCCTCTGCAGCGTGGGTGCCTCTGGGTGTGGTTTTACACCATGTCTCCTCTATGCCATGGTTGTTGGCTCTGTGGTCATCCCTTTAATTCCCCCTACGTGGAGAACACCTGGCCAGCATGAAAAAACGTGCTCTATAACCGCTGCTTTTCACACGTGGGGAGCAAAGGCGACCACCACGTTTGTTGCAGGTGTATTGTAACCATGCGGTAGAGATAGTTGTCTACATAGGGGGCAAATAAAGGTCTGTTGGTGTTGTTTCTGAGTTGTGTTTAATGCAGGTGAAAAAATATCAAGTATTCAGGCTTCTTATCTGAAATTTGACTTTTTGTTCAAACAGAGGGAAAGTTATTAGACTTGAGTGGTTGAAGTTTATAAATACAGAATATCAGCACAAAAGGCCGACTGAGTGATCTTGACCCAGTACAGGGCCGTCTTATCGTAACCTGACCATTGAATAGTACTCTTGACCTCAGTACATTAATACAGCGACAGTTTTATTCAACAAGGGAAGACGTGCTCTGTCGTAAAGTTTTACTGGAAGTTAGGCCACCAGCAAAACCAGTAAGACCAATTAAAAAGGTCATTTTGAGCCGCTTCATTGTAGAGTATCTAAGAAGGAGTATTAGGGCCTTTTTTAAGAAAAAAAAAATTAAGGCTTCATTATTACTTACGAGAATAAAGTCATAGCTAATAGCTGTTCTAACCTGTTGTCAGTTGTTTAAATGAGCGCTGCGGAGCATTTAGATGAATTGAACTTCAGTAGCTAGGTTTCACAAACAAGGAGATAAATCCTTTGGCGTTTCAGCATCACATTGTCATAAGTATCAGGACATATGCAAGAAATGCATCTTTTCTGCAGAAAGAACCAGACGGACTTGTAGGGAATTTCTGGCTGTGCAGAGGCTAAATCCCTCAATGCAGCCGTTTAAAGCAATAGCATATGGTTTTAGTTTATCGTATAAATCTATATATGACATAAGGTGTTGGTGCCTCTGCAGGTGTAGGTTGCTGCCGGTGTTGTGTTGGCATCAGAAACAGAAGCGGTGCTCGTTGGAGCTCGACTCCCTCTGAATTGTGATTGTTGACCATCGGTTGGATTGTTGTTTAATAAACCACAAAAGCTCTCTGAATGGCCCACTGATGCACCCACTGATAACTCTGCAGTTGACTAGTTCAGCCATTTCCTCCTCCACAAAAGCAGCTTTAAGACTTCATTTACTTTACCACTTTATTCTCTTAAGAAATGATTTTATTGCAACTTTATTCTCGTTAGTTATGACTTAAATCTCAAAGTCTTAATTTTTGTTTTTCCTTAATGTGGCCCTAATACTCCGTTGTAAGTATCAGATGAGTTGGCTTGGTAAAAAACTAAAAGGGACTAGGCTTTTAATAGTTGTCGGTTTACTGGTTACTGTGGAGAAAAAAGGCTTTGCAGCCATTTTTAGCTAAATAAATTTAGTGCAAAGCATTATTTTATTGAACATTTATTGATCAACCTTTGTCTGTCTGTCTGATATCATAATAATCCGATTCAAACCTTGTTGCAACGGTTAATCTTTTTTTGGAATAAATAGCCAATGTGTTCAGTGGAAACTTGTGTATACGCACAGAAATTAACCTCTTTGTTGGACTTTTTCAAGGTCAGAGACACTTTGTAACCCGTTAACTAACTGCGCACACTGTGGCGTACACGCTCCTATCCTCCCCATCGTTCTGCCTCTCAATTTCAAATCAGGAGTTTAACCTCCAAGCAGATTCTGCTCACGCTGTGGCTGCGGACCTGGCCAGGCACCATGGGAGAATTACCTCCCATAATTATACTGCAATTATGACAGAGATAAAATCAGCATTATTCTAAAAAAAAAAAGAAAAAAGTTTAAATGAGTAGTGGGAGGGAGGGATAGAGGGATGGAAGAAGTTGGAGCTTTAGTGTCTCTGAGGGGATTGGTGACAGTCCTGAGAAACAAAAGGAAGCGAATGGGCAGAAAATTCTTCTAATTAAGCAAAGAGAAAAGATGGTGTCTCTGGTAATTATAAAAGTGTAAGAGATTCTTAACTGGGTAGCTTCAATTCTGTCATTTTTAAAAAGTTGAGTGTAAATGGTAAAACTAGAGCCCAAACTTTCACAATGGGCGGAGAGAGTGTTACGGTGGCCCTGAAGGTCAGAATACATCGCTGCTACAAGAGTTACAAAGTCCAAAAACAGCTGGTTTGTAAAAAATGATACTCTGACAAAACTCATTACTTTTTAATTAAGGGTTGTCCATTTTTTATTATTAGTCTGTTGTCAAATTAAAATGATGTTATAGTTTTGTTAGTTTTTGGGGCACTGGTTCAGCTCAGCGGATATATTGAAGGTACACTCCTCAGTCCTCGTACCCTTGTTCACCTGTACTGGCAAGATTTGGTGCATGCACCCACCCCACCCCCATCCTCACATTTCCTGTCTCCCTTTAAGCTGTCCTATCAAAATAAAGGCAAATAGGAGGACAAAGCATCAGCTGAACTACGGTGTGCAGAAAGGGACAAAACAGCCGGCAACTAAAGACAGTATGTCAAGTTCTGACATTAACTTCACTATAAAATGCACTTGTGTTTCATCAAATGTTTGTTTTTTTCTTGAGTTCATAATTTGATTTGACAAAAGTAGTTTTTTGAGAGCATTCATTATCAATATTTTGACCTTCAGAGCTTCCTTCGCCTCCACGGTAATCACAGCGGATCTTAAGAAAACTTTGTTACACCCGTCCTTTCTTATCTGACCACTAGGGGCTCTGTGAGCACTCCTAACTGTGAATCACTCTTGGCTGCAGCAAACCGGGCCTGCAACGAATAAGCTCTCCTTTTCAAACCTCTTCAAACCCGCCAACCACCTCCCAAAAATAGACATGCACAACAACTCTAGGAGCTTTTGGGGCTCCACTTTCCAGCCAGTCATCCTCAGTGACGTGTTTGCAGCTTTAAGTCTGGAGCTGGATGGCAGCAGACAGGACATCTGCTCTTCATATCCGCCTGGTGTGTTGCACAAAGTGGACTCTCTTTGCTCCAGCCATGGGCCCAGCGGCAGCGCGGCGGGCACAATTCCCTTTCCAAACACAATTCGGAAAAGGGACTTGTTTATCCAACCATTCGAGGCCTCGGATCAGAGGGAGATAACGTCTGGATGGGTTTGAGGTTCCTTTTCCATGCAGCCGCACACATCTGCATCTGAGTTTTCCATTTGCAGAAAGCCGATGGAGTGGTTTAAACTGAGCTGGTGTACAATATACAAACACACACTGCCAGAGGAGTGCACAAACATAAATATGCAGGTAGGCCAGCAGTGAATGCATCACCAGGCACTAAAAGAAGACATAGGTGGTCCTTAATAGGACATTTGGATCATACATGAAAAGCCTCCACTTCAGAAAACGGAGCAAACATCACAAATCACATGAAAGTTTAACCTTCAGTACTTTTTCTTCTCAAAGAAATGTTTATGCTGGTCACAAAAAAAAAACTGCGGATCCATTTGTAAAACATTTTCATCACTCCTGTGTCACATTTCTTTAATAACACCACAATCTCAATCCTCCTGTCATCCTCTTAAGGTCAATGTATGAGAAGAGAAAGAAAATCAAACATTTAAAAGCAGCAAAAATGATTTATAACCTGTATATTCCAGATATGAAATGGCTGCCGAGTATCTCCCAGCGATGCCATTACTTATTTCTGAAAGCCCACCTGATTGTAGTCACACAGACTCACCTAAAAACAACCTAAAACGGCTCAATAAAGCACCTTGAGCCATGATTGGGATCTCACTCATATTCCCTCGTCACAAAGATGAATGCATTTGCAGAGGAAGGATGAGCGAGGGGGCTGAGTTTTTAATAAATTCTGCATCATGCTTCCGCCACGGTGCCCACAAGCTGGTGACAACTGCATTTATTTAAAGACAGTTTGATAAATTAATTTTTTTTATCTGCTAGAAATACATTCACAGACGAATAATGATCTTGACTGAAAAATGGGACCGTTGCAGCCGAGGAGACATGACGTGGATTTCATTCACCGCTCTTCTGCTCTAAATGTGTGTGTGTGTGTTGGGAAGAAGACGAGGCTGCAAATGTAGAAACATATTTGTGCGAATCGTCTCTGAATGATTGCTGATTTTATTGGAAAACTGATTTTCATTTCCACTTTATCCTTTGTCATCAATCTAAAAATTAACTTTAATAGCTTCATTCGTTTTGCAGGAGTTGATTATGTTGCAAGATCTTTAACAAAATCAGTAGATTAAGTAATATGCGCTAAAACTGGCTGCGGTATGTGGGAAGCTGCACGATAGATGCAGATGGATGCTGTTTTATGCTAATCCACGCAATGGATGTGAAATATAAGCTATTATACCAGCAGTTCATTTAGCAAATAAAAGATGGCTCCCCTCCTGTGTGTCATTATTGACACGATGATACGATTACCAATCTGGGTGAAAATTGTGAAGCAGCTGAAGTTTTGGTCTGTTCAGGACTGGAAAGACTTCAGAAGTACATTGTATCATCATTGTAAGTACAGATCGGTAATGAACATACAGTTCATATGAGGGGTGTCACGATTTCGATTTTTTATCGAAATTATGACATGGTCTCGGTAATCAAAATCTAAGATGTGTGCAAAGTGGAAACAAATGACAACGCCGCTTATTGTAACCGACGCGAGCCTCGTAGAGTTCTCATTTTTGTTGTGATTTTTATTTTTGCTGTTTTCTCTTCACTGAAAACAAGATTGTTAAATAAATTGTTTAAATTTAAACATTAGTGCCTAATGTGATACATTACACAAGAATAATGGAAATTGCATCACCTATTTGTAACCCATCTTTTGAAATAAGATTTACTGTACAAAATGTACTAAATAAAACCAATGACCGTAGACTAGACTAGTCTAAAAACGTCATAGGCCTCTGTGCTGTGAGAAAAAGAATCGAGAATCGAATTGAACGGTGACCCTAAAGTTGAAAATTAAATTGAATCGAGGATTTGTAGAATTGTGACACCCCTAGTGTCATGCATCGATATCCACTAAGGCTAGTTTTATGTTGGTAATAGCTACATTCGTAGGTTTCTGTTTGTCATCTTTAGCCTGAGATTGGCTAACAATTCTAAAAACAACCTACGTAAGTAGCTGAAAAACTTCCCAACTTCGTTTTTAACTTGTAACAGAGTTGACTCTGATGTGGCCCAGCTCCAACAATAAACTACTGACGTAAAGAGGATGCACCATTTAACCACCTCACTATTGATACTCAACTTTTACGGTTGACAGATAAGGTGATGATATGTTTATAGGGTGACGTTTTACTGACCTGATCTTGAATGTATCATAATGTAGCCTTCAGGTACCTAGCTTTGCTGGTTAGCTAACTATATCCTACCAGTTTCAACATTTTAAAAGATCCTAGCTGTACCTCACCGCTACCTAAGGCTAAGCTGAACTACCATACTGGTTGTTGGCAGGGTGCCTGTAACGGGACCAGCTAAGGCTACACATCTGCATACTTGCTGCACATTGCTAGGGAGACGATTCATCCTCTTTTACCCGGCCATGTCCTCTTTTTGGGGGCTTTCCAGCCTGTTTGGCTTTGTCCGAGGGAGTTTATAAAATTCTTCAAATATCCAGGGTTTTGAACGGAAGTTTTGGGTTTGTGTTGCGTGGACTTACTGAGTTAGAAGCCCGTAAAAAACACTCGGTCCGACCCGAAAAAACTGTCAAAATTTTATTCGCCACGTAATCGTGTCCTTTTTTGGGGATTCAGAATATGGTCTCCCTACACATTGCTAAAAACATTTGAAACACAGCAGACCCATCTAAACAGCCTCCATCTTAAGTACTTGTGGTATTTTATTCTGGGTTTTACGGTACTTAGCGTTCATAAATAAATCAGATGAAACAGATGTTTGAATTCAGCCGCACTTCTTACCAAGAAAAACACTTTGTCCATATTTTTGCAATCACTTTTTTTTTTATCAGTGGTTGAAGAACTTACAGCATAATTTGCTAAAAAATAAATCAGAAATTTGTTCATTAAATCATTTACCCAATTACACAATTAGCAGTGTTAAATGCCGTCCAAGCCTTTTCTATGGGTTACATAAAACTGAATTTAAAGGAAAGTTCATGGCCTGGTTTTCTCCCCGCTCTTTGAAAGTTTCGGTGTCATATGAATTCTCAGCAAAAGTACAGATCCGGATCTTGATGCGAACACCTTGTGCTACAACACCGCAAACCAGATAATGACTTAGACGTCACTCGTGCATGCAATACGCTCAACGATCACAAATGTACCGGTCAGGAAGTTCATCTTCAGTACTTTACATGTTTTAGAAATGCTTTCAAGTCGCACTCAAAACCAAGCTAAGCATTCATAATATGTATATCTGCTGCAATCTGTGCACATTTCAGACCAGCTACCAATATCCTTCAGAGGACAAGTGCACCAAATGAATCAATAAACTCAAAAGCCTTGAAATCTCAAATCCATTAGAGCTACGTGGAGGCACATATTACTTCAAAACGGAGTTGCATTAAGTGTCAGATGTCGGTGATAAGGCGGCCTTCATTTGGGTTTTGTTGTTTTTTTTTCCCCTGATGGGACACACGAGTGTTGACTCCTTATCATTCATGCCATAAAGCGCTATCTGTGTCTCTTATCGCCTGTCTCTGCACGAAGGAGGAAGAGTGTGACAGAGAGGGAGTGAATGAAGGACGGAAAGCTGCCAGTGATAAAAATCGCTGCTGCTGCTTGTGCTGCTGTGGCCGCATGCATGTACACCTGTACGAGTGGACACAGGCGCAGTCTTGCCACCTTAACACACAAACGTATCAAACAAGGCCACGGGCCTGACATGCTCTTATCTCCTGCAGGCTGTTTTTACCGTGAAGATAATGTGCTGCGCTACCTCAACAGCTCGCCACAAAAAAGTACAGAGGAAGTCAAAGTGTTGTGCCGAATAAGACCGCCTTTTTTTTTTTTTTCAAATCTTTTTACACGAACTTGAATTAACTTTAATTTAACTGCAGGAATATGTAGATTTTCTTCATACTTCTTCTACTGCATCATCACTTTAACATAAGGGTGAAAAATGATTTAATCAACGGGGGGAGTAGAAATTAAACTCCAGATTTTGCTCCTCTTAAGAGTGTCACGGCTTGCAGATTGTGCGTACGATACGTGGCGTTGACCCCGCTTGATTTAGCAGACGCAACACGAAACATTCCTCTCATCTGCTCTGCTTTTAATACGATCTGAATCCCGTCCCTATGCACGGCGTAACCTTAATCTCACTGCCTTTAACCTTGCCATTCTCCCCCTCTATCTCTCCCTTCTTTCCTTCTCTCCCTCTCTTGTTCCATCTCTCCATGCATTTGTTTATCCAGCACTCTCTCGCCGCCTCTCTGATGAGTGTTTTATCTTGCGGCCCACCTTTTCACACTGCCGCGTTCACAATCATGAGTATCACCAGTAATTATCTCGCTGTATTCCCCCTTCTCGCCCTATCGCCGGCATTCATCTCGACGCTGGAATTATATGCGTTTCAGATGGGTGCCACCGCGCTCCCCCCAGAGGAAAGGAGGGAGGAAGAAGAAGAGGAGGAAGAGGGGGACGGAGCAGCCCCCAGGTTGGGTAAAAAGACAAATCTGGTGTGTTGGAGATTGTGATGCTTGGCTCGGCCCTGACCTGTATCACCATGGAGGGGCTCGGACTCACATCTCAGGTGTAATTACTTTGTTTCACAGCTTCCGTTATCTCCCATCGACTTTGCATCTGTCCCCTTTCATACTCCGCCACTCCTTCGCATAATATAGTTGTGGTCCCTGTCAAAGTCGCCTTGACCTTCCTCCTTTCTGCCGCCGCCATTGTACCAATAAGAAAACCAATTAATGACTTATCCGTCCATCTCAATGTCAAGTCTTTTTCTGAGGTGTACTATTATGTCTGCTTTTCCGACGTGCTGTTAATTAACTCAATGCTTCGCCTTCTCACTCACCGGACCACGCCGGTATTCAAGGCCTGCATAATGGTACTGTAGCTGCAGAGCTCTCTCTCTCTCTCTCACACACACACACCTTAAACTTCAGAGAGCAACAGAATGTGGAGAGGGACGGCGGACGGGCAAAGAAGGATATGAAAGGATTTAATGAACAAGATGTCTGAAGCAGAATTCAATGCAGAGGCCAGATAAGGCTCTAAAGTCGTTAAGAGTGGGCAGAGTGTGGCGCATCCGCCTCTTTAGGTGAAGTAAAACCTGCACATATCCTCACCTTTCATGAGGGAAGCCCTAACAGCAGCTCAGAGCGTTTGCTTCCCCTTTTTATCACATTCATATTCAAATTTCTGAGTGAAATGTCAAAGATGATAGACATATCACTTTTAGCGCTTCTGTCGGAGCAGTGTGCACTAAAACCCTTTTCACCGCCCGGTTTTAAAGGTGGGAAAACCCACTTTCACTCATGTCACTGTGTAATTCTGAGTGGCGACTGTTCGCGCGGCTTTGTGTGGACCTGAAAGCAGCACAATCCCGCCGATGAAGGGGGAAATGACCACGGCTTTTTAACAGTGATGTGATAACGACGGAAAAGATGAATACAAATACCGGCCATTGTGAAGCAGCTGCAGTTTGGTCCGGTACAAAAATACTGGAGAGAGTTCAGGAGAAAGACTTTAGATGTTTTCATTGTAAGTACAGATAAGTAATAAACATACAGCAGGGCTTCACACTAACTTTTTTCACAAGGGGCACATGTGCTCCCAAGTTTTTAGGTCTTTTGGTCGCATGTAATGGAAGCTATTGAAGACAATGTTACAAAATTTGCCTTTAAATTTAACACAAAAATTTTATGAGGACAAATTCGAGAAATAAAAAGGTGTGTCTTGTTGATCGACATAAGTACTATTATTTGAAATCATTTTTAGGTCAATTGTTCACATGATATGGAAGCTATTGAATGAAAACCCCCTTTTCTGAGAACATCAACCGGTAATTTATTGACGGTCCCTTATTTGACACCCGACGTTGACAGTGAGGGTGCCGAGTAGATTTAACTGCGCTACTGTTGCTGTTCCAAGTTATGAAGAGTGAGAAGACACCTGTAGATCCGCAGTGAATGTCCGTTGAATATCCAACCTATAACTAACTTCAACGCGGTATTTACACGAAAAAATCATTTGTTGTGAGTGAAATGGTCGCACTGTCGAGCCCTGAACAGTACATGCGTGTTATCAGACATGGGCACTGATTCAGGGGCACCTTCCTGTTCATGGTTTAAACAAGACTAGGACTGGGACGATAACAAATTTTGCCGGACGATGTATTGTCCCACAAACTATTGACGATAAACAAGATTATTGTTGACTTTATATAGAGCAAAATAACCACAATGTTAATATATTACATATTTTCTGGAGGGCAATTCGTTTTGTCGGTCAAAAGTTTGTATAATTTCTCAGGATGCTGACTTTTTTAACTGTACTAAATGGCAGCATTTCTTTAGCAATGTAGCGAGCTACACTTTCTGTGAGCGCCCCCCATCTTGCGCTGTTCCGACTGTACTTGATTTGTCGACCAGACGCTTCATTAAGCGTTGACTGTCGAGCCGACGGCTCTGCATCTCAAGATGAAGTTTTTTCCCCACCTGGGAAAACTCGACCGGGTGATAGCGTTTGAGGTGGGCATGCAAGTTTGTTGTGTTGCCTTTTTTTGTCGCTACCATTTTTAAACAAAGTCGGCGTACTCGCTCATTGAGCTTAAACCCGAGATATTCCCACACCGGGGCTGTAGCATTTGTCTTTCTCTTCCATGCATGTTTACATTTTACAGCCAACTGCTTGCAGCCACCATCTGGCGGTTGTGCCACACTACACCCAGGCAGTGGTAAAAACAAACCGAAATCTCAGTTTCAGTACTTCATGTTCCTCATTTATATATAAACAGCCCGACAATCCTGATACTCTGACCTGTTTCTGAGGCAGCACAGAGTGAAGTACCCTGATTTGATTCAACAACACAAAGCTGCGCATACCTGTGGCGGCGTTCATCCTCCGACACCAAGCACGATGTCTATCTGTGTCACTTTTCACCATTTCCATATTTAAATTAATTAGAATTGGCAGAGTATTGTCCTGAGGATAACTATTATAAAAATCATTCCAATATCTAAATGTTTAAAATTACAACAGCACTGTTTATGAGGCATTTTTCCCCCTTTTTTTGAACTCTCTGGTTATAAATTTTACACTCCCACAGCCCGACTGAGAACTCAGCCATATCTTTTTAATTTTCTAAATGCAATTCATTGCTCCGAACATGGATTCAAAACACTAATTAATTTGTATTTGATAATTTGACCACTTTCACGGCATGACATAAGAGCAATTTCTGCTTTTTAAACTTTGCACTGTATGCACAAGTTTAATTAAGTGAGAACTCTCCACATTATCGACATCATGAATTGTACGATTTTGCAGAGTGGCGGGTGAAAAAAAGTAGGTCTGTGAGGGTCTTTTCTGCGCTCTTCTCTCCACTCCCACAATTTCCCTGCATATAAAGGACATTTCCCGAATTGAGAGGAGTGATTGCTGGAGGAGGTATACATTTCAAGTTAATTTTACATTGACCTTGTAAAGGGATTGTGAAAAGAGCGTGGATAAGTTAAACAGTAATGAAAAAAAAGGAGTTAATGCACCTTCATCATCTGCCTGCGCTGAACTGTCTCACTAACGGACCCTTCGCTCCTCCTCTCACTTAAAGTACAATCACGCTGTATATGGAGACGCCTTTCATGGACCCACAGCTAACCTACATTTGAGCTAAATCGAACATTAAACCAGATTAATGAGATTTTGGTTGCAGGGGGGGGAATTTTAGAACGTCTGTTGCCTGACTGCAGGAAATAACTGTCTTCATTTTTAAACTTCTGTCCATGATAAAGCTGTAACTTCACTCCATACTCTTTATCACTGAGAATAAAAGTGTAGATTATTCCTTTTACCTTTGTTAGAAGAGGACACAGGCAGCTAGAGGTGGTTAAGTTTGTGTCTCTCTCTTTTGCCCTGATTCAATTGCTGATATTCATGTCATTTTTGGGCTGAAAAATGTCAGAAAAGGAGACTAAAAATCCTCCACAATGGCACATTAACTAACGCCTATTAAACGGTTAAAACACTCATTGATTCAGGGATTTATATACTATATAAGTTCACCACAGAGCCTTTTTCAAACATTTTTAGGAGGATGTCTTGAACCAAAAAGCCACTTCTGACGTTTTTACCTTTTACAATTTGCATATCCCTGATCAAATTCACAGGAAATCAACCACAAAACAACAGTTTCACAGTTTGACTCATTTGCTGAATCTAGAGGTGCTCATTGCAAAGTTGACCTCTGTTTGATTCCTAAATTGATGTCAGCTCTGAGAATCAGAAGTCAGGGTGGGCAAGTGACGGAAAGCTCGTATCAAACCCTCCGTCAGTCTTCGCCACTTTTTCGAAGAGAAGTTATTGTAAGTTTATGTTTTTGAAGACAAATAACTAAAAACAGAACATCAGAACTGAGTGTCGTCCAGCGCCACGTTTCCTTGAGCAGTAGTTTGAATGATTTTCCATTTAAAGTCATGCAGATTTTTTATCGGATTTAGAAAGAAATAGTTTATGTCTTTTCAGATTTGCTCACTGACTTTTGTTTGTCTTGTTTTTTATTCTAACAGAGTTGATTTCTAAGTTTTTCTGTACCCAACTGTTTGTGGACACTTTTTCTGAATGCACATTATGGATGAATTTCATGTGTGTTCCTCCAGGATCAGCTGCTTCTTAGAAATACTTTCATTTACTGCTCCAGTATTGCTATTTAAACTCGATTGTTGACATCTTGAAAACTATATGGAAGCAATGGAGATAGTTCTGCAGCTCCTTTCTCATTTTGTGAAAATTACCTTCCTTGTCTTTTATCCAAAGCCAGTGTTTGGACCCAGTGTTTTGTCATTTTTAATGGGCAAAAGAGCTACTTAGTCACCCTCTATGCTGATGACACTGTTTTTATATGTCTAACACTTTGGCTTTAGGGTTTCGGTTTCGATGTGTGGTAATATAATCAAACCCAAATTGAAAAAGTGCATCTCAGACTGTAATCCTGGGATCCAGAGTCTGTCAAATACCAAAGTTTTGTCGAGGCCTGCCGTAGATATCTCATCAAACACTAAAAGACCCAAGAAGACCGAAAGATTGACTTATAATTTAATGTTTACTGTACTTGAAGTGTGGGTTTAAGCATTTTTCTGTTTCGGGCCCAAAAACAGTAAACTTTTTTGAAACTCTGCTTCTTTTTTTGTTTTTCCAGATGTGAAACTGCTACAAGTTCACCCCTCTGGACCGATGTGACAAACTAAGACCTGGATCCTGGTGCTGCAGACTGTGAGTACTCCCCTCCTCGTTTACTGTGTACAGCCCAACCCTCCGTCTGCTCAGCCTCCATCGTGTCCATTTCCCTCTTTCATTACCTCTCCTATCTCGCCTGTGTTTCCTCTTCTTCTGCCCGTTTTGTCCGTCTGTCGTGGGACAAAGACTTGACGGGGACCTGGCTGGGCCTTGAGCCCAGAAAATCATTTAACAGGCCAATCCAGTACAGGGGGCCGATCCCTGCGCAGCCATTAGGGAAACCCGAGCGCAGACCCGGCCCCCTGTCTCTCACAGCCTCTTTAGGGTTTCAGACTTTCTACAAATTGAGCATCATCCTCCAACCCTCAGCAGCCATTTTGTAAATGACAAGGAAAGAAGAGAGAGTGGGAACAGACACGAAAATGATGTTCATCAGGTTTATGGACGAGATGAGGAGAAAGAGATAGAAATTAAATATCCTGGCGGACTTGGAGGAGGTTTCTAGTTTTCCCCCCTCCCCTCCTCATCTCCTCTCTGAACCCCAACCTTTAGTTCAGTGACTCAAAACCGCGATAAAACCCGATTCCCCCGCTTTCATTCTTTTACTCGTCCTCTTCTCCTCTTCGATCCCGCCACAAGGGAACACTCAGGCCTTTGTTCGCTGAATTGGTTTTCAGATGTTATTTTTTCTTCACTCTTTCTTTCCCTAAGAGCATGTGATTAAAATCACCTCAGTCGTTTAGCACTGATGCCTTTTGTCTCTGCGGTCCCATTCTGCTGGGAGTCAGAGGGCTTACTACTTTACATCTAACAGGTAGGATATAATAGGATTTCACTCCTGCTCTTCCCTGCACCGTCCGTCTGCATATTTAGAGCTTAAATCCATGCATATGTATAAATTAAGGCTCAGGGCAATAATCGGAGCTTTTAATAAGAAGCAGTGTATAATTTTAACTTTTAAGTCTGGGGGACTTGTGAAAACTGCGAGGAATATGAATATTTTTTCATGTCCAAACACAACCCTGTTTAGCCATGTTATAGTATTCCATAAAGGTTGGAGCACTTACTCTTATTCCTGCAGAACAAACATGAGTTATTCACGGTTAGTGCGTAAGCCTCACACCGGAGAAAGTGAATCAACAGATGATCATTACGTGTACAGGCAAACATGAAGGCTTTGCAAGTTAATCATGAATGTTGAATTTTTCTTTAGACGTCTTTCTCCTTTTTATGGTGCTTATAATATTTTACTCTGGTTAAATCCATCCAGTTCTTAGTGCGGTACTTTGGGTTGTTTGGAATAAACTGAAGAGTTCTTTAGTTGTTTATGGAACCTCTACCAGAGAGGGAAGAGTTGACACCAAAGACAAACACGAAATCCAATAAAATCTACCTTAACATTCAGTCTTTGTATCAATAAAGAAAAGTATTAAAGCTTATAACCATAGACATAGTATACATAGATGCCTCATTCCATGCTGAAGCATAATCCAGGGTCTCCTTATGCTAGTCTTGCACCAGAGCCAACCAGAGTCAACGGAAAATGAACGTCTATGCCCGTATTTTGTGCGCCCTATGGTTGCAAAAACCAGCCCAGTGTTGAAACCATATCTTGTAGGATTACCTTACCAGCGTCCTGTACCATCACTACATCTATTCTGTTTGTACCAATCCAACAGAGAATAAGAGTGTGAGAATCGGGTAAAAATTCAGGGAGTTATAATGAAAGTAGTTGGGCATACCTCCCCTCCTATAGAAATAAATGTGCTTAAGGGACCCATCCAAGATGGTGGCTGCAATGATACATCAGCTCCAGTGGGCAGCGTCAGTCTAAGAGTTGTCAAGGTATATTATGTCTCTGTTTATAACCCTGGTGTATGTATCGTCAACCTAACAGCCTAATGCAAATTTTACAACATAGCTTCCTGGTTTGAATTTACTACTAACCAGCAGCAGATGAGAATTTTCTACAAACTAACAAAAAACTCGAAGACAAGAATAAAACTTTTGGCGTGTTGAATCAAAACTGATTATTAAAAAAAAAACATGTTTATCAGGGGTATCACTTTGGAACAGCATGCATCTAAGGATTTGCATTTTTTTGTTTTACTCAATAACCAGAGTTTAGCAGATTTACCAGTTGATTAGCATTTGTGTCTTATATAAGTCTCTCTCAAATCGATTTGCAGTTTGTTTTTTCCAACGTACTCTGCAATGGAAACTTTTTAGAGAACATATAACTAAGAAAACAGTACTTTAGGTCATCAAGAGTGAGCTTGAGCCTTTGAAAAGTCAAACCAGTGGAAAATGCCTAAAACTGCAGTTTCTTAAGTAACCATTTTTTTGAGAGCTCCTCTTACATTTGCATATTAAGGAGGAGGTAATGAGCAGGTTGGTGCATTTGAAACTGAAGTCAGCCTCAGCTCCTCCTCTTTGCTTGTGTTTAAGTTTATCAAGACCAAATTTAAGCCGGCGTTCCCAGTTTGGCGAACGGATGTAGACCTGAGGTGTCATTTTCTTGTTTCCTGTCGTCTCCCCGGTGTCGGAGTATGACAGATGTGATGCAATAGGTGTTACAGTCATGACCCTTAACCCAGCATGTCCTTCCTATGTCACTAGAAGTTTCCGATCACGCACACCCAGCTCCACCCACACACACACACACACACACACACACACACACACACACACACACACACACACACACACACACACACACACAGGAAGTGAAAGAGAAAATCAGCAAAGTCTGAACCCATTCTGAGAAAATCTTCCTTTCTTCTTTTTTCCTCCTCCTCCTCCTCCTCCTCCTGCTCACTGTCGGCTGCCAAAGGCCTTGATTAATGGTTCCCTTTAATTAATACTTTTACAGCACTTAGAGCAAGGACCTTGCAATTAGCATTGGCCTAAGGAGTGTAATCACCTGAGCTCATCCAGATCCTTATCCACACACCGACTGACTGACTGACTGACTGTCTAAATGACTGACTGAATGGTAGGCAGGGTGACGGAGAGCATGTGTAAGCTTGTATGGCTCATGTAGATTTATTTCTGACAGATATCGCAGCCTCGCACCTGGGACTTACAGATCCGTCTTTTTATGATGATGAAAACTGAACACAGAGTTTTCTTTTGGTCTTAAGTGGTTACTTACTTTCTATACCTTACTTTTGACACGTTTTAAATTGCTGTAATTGGCTTTTTGTGCTGGAGAAATGTTGAACATGAACATGTCAAGGGTCCCTCTTTGGTTGAATTGAGTTGTCATATTGAGTTTTAATTTTGAAACCAGAGTATGGAAGTGTTTGCATACATTTGTATAGGCATGACAAACTTATTTCAACATCTTAAATTGATAGAGGCATGCAAACTAAGTGGAAGCAATGTCTCATGGTGGTCAAGCAGTGGTCTCATGTCCACTATCCAAAAAGCAGCCAACATCAGCTCACTCTTACTCCAATTTCATGTATGTCATGTATATTTTAATATTCAGTCTCTCGTTTGAATGTCCAGTGAGATCTCCTGATCTACAACAGATCTACAGAAACCACACACAAACATAAATGAAAAGATGACATAAACGGCCGAGGGGCTAACACTTGTTTTGAGTCATTCCTTGCTTTATGCGTATGCGTTTCTTTTTGTGTAGCATCTTTGTTGTATAGAAGCGTATAACATTTTTTTTTGACAATAGTTTTTGGTAACACTTCACAATAACCACAACTTATAAATATACCCTAACCCTAACCCTAACTGAACAATAACCATCTAAGTAATGTTTATAGGTGGTTTATAAACCAAATATTAATCATTTACAAAGTGCTACTGACACACATTTTTATCTAGACGTTTTCATACAAATTTTTAAACCCTATATAAACCTTTAATAAATAGTCCATTAATAATAAATGAAAATTATATTAACTTACATGAATTAAGTACATATTTGCCATTTATAATTGGTCTATATCCTGTTTTTAAATGATGATTAAACATTGATAAACTATCTTTGTACCATTTTTAAATTATGGTTATTATTGAGTGTTACCAACAGCACTTTCAGAAATAATATAGACTATAATCAAAGTCAAATTAGTTTTCTTTTCTAAAGTGACTGTAATACGCTTAAAAATTAATACCGTATTTTCCGGACTATAAGTTGCTCAGGAGTGTAAGTCGCATCAATTAAGAATGCATAATGAAGAAGAAAAAATATATACGGGTAGAAGTTGCATTTTTGGTGGGGAATTTATTTTACATAATCCAAGACCAAATTATATATAAAATTATGTATTTTAATATATATAAGTCACACCTGAGTATAAGTCGCCAACCCAGCCAAACTATTAAAAAAAGTGTGACTTATAGTTCCGAAAATACGGTATATATTCAGTATCAATATCATATAAAGTGAGATCATTTATCATCTTAAATCAGGATTGTGTCTTTTTTGTTTCTTTCGGCTATATCGCCCAGCCCTATTTTGAGGTATGGGCACTAAAAGGCGTCCTAGTTTCGAATTAAGGTTTTTCTAAAAGTCCTTCTTTCCTCATGCATAATTTGATCGACATTGCTTTACATTTATTTTAAGTGTAAGGTAAAACAGAACTCAAATACCAATCAAATAGTGGATGATGGTGCAAGACCTCCAATGTGACGCTGATTTTATGCTTCTGCAGGAGAAATGGTGAAATATATTCCTCATTCAGCCTTGGCAAACGAGTAAAACGGGCAGTTAGTCTCAGATTGAATCCACAATGGCACATTAATAACCTCCGTTAAGAGCATATAAAGGCGACGTCTTTATTTTTCCCTTTTACTGGGGAGTGGAAACAGCAGGCAGTTAGAGAAATTCCACGGCATTAATTACAAACTGATTAGAAGCTCCTTTTGCAGGAGGCTGTATCATTTAATTGAGGGGAAAATAATGATCACAATTCCAGCAACTTCTAATTAGAAAAACAGCTCAAATCTTATCAGGACTGTGTGATGCATGCGGAACACACATGGCTTTCAGTCGAACACACACACACACACGCACACACACACATCCGGAAATAAACAGTTTCTATGGAGTGTATTCTTTTGTGTGTGTTTTTGTGGGGGATACACACTGGTGTAGGCGCTGCCACTCTGAGACAGAGGAGCCGGTTTAAGCACATCAAGTCGACTGCGGATTATGTTTGTAGATATTACCCGAAGAATCAGCGGTGCGCTTTCTCAAAAGAGGCGCAGACAATTACAGATCTGATAACCCCTGAGTTGTATCGCAGTTGTTGCAGTGTGTTTACACTATCTGACATGGCTGAAACAACAGCACAAATAAGAACAGAGCGAAGATTCCCATCTCAACTTTCCTGACTTTGCCGCTTATCACAAACCGCGTAAAATCACAGAGTCAGACAGAGCTTGGAACGGGACCAAAAAAAAGCCGACACACACACACATATACACAAATACAGGGACACATTTGTACAAAAACAAACCGGCATCAGAGGAAATATTTCAGGATGAGTTTCTGCAGTTATTGGCAGCTGCTGGGAGTGTTTTGTAATACTTAAGAGGATATTTCCACACAGATAAACAAGAGCTCGGAGAAACCTTTCCAAAAGGAATCTCTTCTGTTAAATTGGCAAACAACAGCGGGTTTATGTGTGTGTGTGTGTGCATGACCTCAGGGTGGAATTGCATACAGTATATGGCTCATGTTATGGCAATGACACAGTCAGAAACAGCAGTACTTTCACTGAAGGACGTATTATCTCCCCCGCAGGTCAACTAGACAGTTTCATAACACCCTAAATGGGATTCTTATTTGCAGCTGAGAGGGGAAAAGAAGAAAAAAAAATCGCGTGTTTATTCTCTCCCACTGCGCTTTGATTAATAGTCAGTTTTGTCATTGCTTTATTAATGTGAAATCGCCTGATTTATGGGCCCTCGTCTAGACACAGTTACTGCTTTCTCGTCTGAGGCGGCAGATCAACTGATCGGCTCCAATGTGTGAGTTTTTTTTGTGTGTGTCTCTGTTAAACAGACACGCGGCAGTTTTGTTGCCATCAATCGAGTCCGCCGTCGCTTGCTCTCGCGCTCGGGCGAAAATGAGGATTGTGAATGTGGGTGGCTTCTTCGATTCTTTTATAAACAGAGTCATTACAGTGTATTAGGCAAAACAGCAGTAAATCAGCGCAGTGACAGGCCTGGCAGAGAAGCACAATTGATGGCACCGAGTTGAAAGGAGAAGACAGGCAGCGCGGACTAATATTTGATATTGCGCTCTGAATTGATCACTGTATATTTGCAGCTGTCACATGTGTGAGTGGTTGCAAAATTTGACTCAAATTAGTTTAATAAATTATAAACCTTCACTTCTGGCACTCTCCTACTTTTTTTTTCCACCAAAGATCCCAAGAATAACAGCCAACAGCACATTTCAATAGAGGACAGCTCATTATAATACACACCTGCACCAACATGCACGCAACATCAGCGCAGAGATACCTGCAGCTCATTTTCTTCAAGAGCTGGGATACTTGGGAAAATGATCATAAAAATAGAGGTTGATGGTTAAAGCTAATCGTGTATTGAAAATGGTGGAAAAAATTACACACCAGATGCTGAAACTTACAAAGTAACAGGACTGAAGACGGGTTGATCTAGCAGCAGGACTCTTCGACTAAGGAATATGAAGGTCTACCTTAAATGAGTCATTGTCCGGATGGCAGCAGATGTTGTTTAGCATCAATGACACCTTCCTAGAAGTGTTATCTACCCATACCATGAGGACTTTTACAACCTCATACCACCAGGAAAGTTGGCTTTTGAACTGATCCCATTTGATCCCACTCCTCTTTTGGATGCAGTGTCCCCGATTTCCAAAAAGAGTGTCAAATTTAGCTTTTTCGAACCATGGGCAAGTTTTCCACCTCACTTCAGCCCAAGGCCCAGAGGAGTACCTTGTTAATTCTGGATCATGTTTCTAGGTAGTTTCCTTTTGGTATGGTTCATTTTTTGACTTGCATTTGTGTTCAAAGATGATGAGTTTTGTATGTGATATGGTGAGTTTCATGACAGAGCCATGTCTGTCTTATAATAGCTCCTTTTAGAGCCCCTAATGTTGCAAATTACTGTCATTGGTTGGGAGATGTTCCAACAAGGGATTTCAGTGTTTCGTTTTTTTGTCGGACCTTCTCCAACTTGTTTGTTGTTGGCATCAAGTTAAAAAAACATTATGTACAAGAATCTCAATATGACAGTAAAATTTCAAGTTTCAGCATTTCATATGTTACTGTCGCACCATCACAACGACTCTCGTGGAATTGATGTTGTACTTGAGGAGAAATTGGAATCAGACACTTCATTGGATCCGTCAGAGTATTCCTTTACCTTGTTTTCTGCAGGATTGGGAAAGGATGCTGAAGGGTTGTGTGCGTTTTGTGTGTCTGTGCATGTGTGTGTATGAGTATTGGGGGGGTGGGGTCGGGTAAGGCTGGGGGATTGTCCAGGGAAAGTGTCTGCTTGGCCGTCCCTGGCTGAGAGGTAAGCCTTGCCGGTGGTGTGCTGAAAACCAACCGTGTTGTCACCGGCTGCGGAGCCAAAATCACTGATGCATTTTAGAAAAAGGCCCCCGGTGCTGGAGAGGACAGGGGTATTAAGCACACACACGCACGCACACACACACATGAACATACCCAAACAGGCACGCACACACACTCACGAACACTGCTTTTATGCTTACACACACCTACTCAAACAATACTCAAACAAAAGCGCAGGCATATACCGTAACACAGAGCCAAAGGTACACCCTTGACTGTGAACACACACTTATACTGTACACACACACACGCACAAACACACACAGTCGAAGCAGCGAGCCGAGCCGCCGTGCCAGGTGGCAGGAGGGAGGCTCTCGGCTGAGAACGAGCAGAGAGGAGGAGGAGGAGAGGCTCTTGGCCGGCCTTGAAAGCGAGAGGCACAAACGGCAGCGGCGATGCCCAGGTTTGGATGCGGCCGGGGGAGCCCTGGAGGGGTTTCCTGGGCATGCAAGCAGGGAAGGAGGGGAGGGTTTGCTGGGACAGGATTTTTATGGGGGGCTGCTTCTGGGCTGTGGTCAGCCGCCTCTGTAACAGAGAAGTGTGATCCCAGACACAGCTGTCCTGTTCTGAGCCGGACCTCCTTGTCCAGGGACGGGGATGCTGCAGAGGACTCAGTCTGGGCTTACACACACTGTATTGTTCCTGGTGTTTGTGCAACATGCTAAATAAGACGTACCTCTCCCTCCTGGAGCTGTATGTGCAGCACGGAGGGTTTAGGACAAACGCTATGCTAATTATCTCTGGAGTAGAAATTCAACACCTGGAGATAAGGCGCTGTGTGTTCGCACCCGGCCTGCTGAGGTGATCAGATAAGGGGGGAGTTGACTGGATACAGTGGCCAGACGGGCCGGGTACCCTCATACACCAAAAACCACAAAAAAAGACATTAAGAGAATCCTGCATCGGGATGTTGGACAAGGAGGCCCCGAAACGACACAAAGACCTCAAATGAGGCAGCAGTGTTTCCTACTGAATGACACTTCAACCTCTTGACAGGGACGTTAGTGACTTGGTTGTTGTTGAAAACACTGAACTGCAACATTCTTTTCCATTTCGTGTCAATTCTAAATTCGAGTATCATGCTGATATCGCCACTGGAATGGTATCTCGTCCTGATAGGATTCAGTCCATGTCGTCTCTCCCTCTCAAGCTCACCAACTTCATAAAAGCTAACCCCCCTGCGCCTCAAAAGACAAAAAATACACAGGCAGCAGAATGTATACCTGGATGACACTTAAAACTGTCATATATGAGCGGGAAACACTGGGTTAGATTTCATTTAAAACACTTAAAAAATCTGTAGATTTGTTGATATCTGGCTGAAAGAGATTGTTTTCAACCTCTTGGTAAAAATTATCTACAAGAATGAATTCAGAGCAAACTTTGACTGACAATATTTGACTTGAAGTGCCGCATTGTAGATATTCAAAGAAATGACCTTGTCTGAAGCCAAAACGCCAATGCTGGACCAGTCTTCCCGTAGATTACACCACCTTAAACTTCACAAACCTGCTCATAGTTATACTAACTTAGGGTGACCGTATGTCCTCTTTTACCGGGACACATCCTCTTTTTGGGGCTGTCCAGCTTTGTCCGGAGAAGTTTATCAAATCCTTCAAATGTCCGCGGTTTTGTACATAAGTTTCGAGTTTGTGTCTCATGGACTCACTGAGTTAGAAGCACGTAAAAGACACTCGATTGGACCCTCTAAATCTCTCAAAATTAACTCTGTGACTCCACCCCTGAGTAGTCGTGTTCTCCTCTTTGGAAGTCAGAATATGGTCACCCTAACTAGCTTGACTGTTTTTATTTCATTTGGTAAAGGACATAAAGGCAATCCTGCAAAGAGGAACTCTATATATTGTTAAAATACGTCCGTAGGTAACAGCAGACTCATTTTAATTCCTGGATTCAAAGGGTTAGAACTCAGCACTAGCCTTAGACTTGTCGTATATTTATCTACAGTCAACCTCCAGGGAGCTTCCCATCTCAGGGTATCCTTTGTCCCTGCTGCCCCTGAACTCTAAAACCACTGCAAACAGGATCAGGTCCCTGCGGAGGAGGACTCTGAGAAAAAGGAGGACTGTGAAGAGGAGGCAGGAGGAGGGGTAAGGAGGAGAAGAAGAAGAAGAGACCAGGTGGAGGGAGGGAAGGGAAGGAGGGAGGGAGTATCGTCGGGGTAAAAGATGTGAATTAACAGAGTGCCGCCGGTGAGGTTTTCTGGCGAACGTAAAGTGAGCTGTGGGGCGTGTAAAGTGAGCGGGGGGCTATTTGGGTCGTTTTCACCTGGAGCCTGGCCAGACTCCAAAATTGAGCAAGCAGAGGGTGAGACAGAAAGAGAGAGAGAGAGAGAGACAGCGCAAAAAGAGAAAGAGAGAGAGAGAGACTCCTAATGGCAAAGCCTTTCACGAGGCCACACTGCAGTGAGCCGTAATTGAAGGTAATTGTTGGGAAGAGCCGACACACACAGCTTCCCCACTGTTCCCTGGGCCGAGATGGACAAGCCTGGGATGACAGAAGGTGTGGAGGGAGGGGTGTTGAGGGTGAGGACCGTGGGGAGGCCAGGTGAAGGAGGAAAATAGGGGGGTAAGATTGCGTTACCCCCATCTCGACCATCCCCAACTGTCCTACACGGCATTTGTCTGCTCGCACAATTGCGTAATTGTGTCCGTGCTAAACGCTCTGAAGGGGCTGCCGCAGCGTCGCGGATACAGGTGGGCGAGCTCGGATGACGCAAGCTCGGATGACAGACAGATAGAAAGACAGACGGACTGAAAAGAGAGAGAGAGAAAGACGGAGGAAAGAAGAGGAAAAGGGACACAGAGTGGTTGCTGAAAACGGTGACGACTATGCCGCTCATGCTCGGACACCAAGTTTTGGAAACATCTCTCCCCAAAAAATACATTTAAATGTATTTTTTTGATGAATCCTGCACTTCAGTCCAGTAAATTTGATCTTTTTCTCCCCTCGAATCCTTCAATGAATACATTTCGCTCTTTGTCACACACACACACAGACATTTTCAAATAGATTTCATGAGGTAGTGCCGAGGCGATGATGTTCATGTATGTGTGTGACTCTAGGCACTCAAGTGTGTGTGCATGTGTGTGTGTGTGTGTGCAGGCAGGAAAGAGATGGGAGGAAAAAAATCACCTTCCCCACTTTGCCTAGCCTCCTCGGTTGGATGGGTTTAGCTCCATGAGCGCACTGGAGCAGGAAATCCAGATTCGCAGCCTATCAGCGAAATAGCACATATATGACTCCCCAGCCTAAGACGGTCTAATCAGGCCTGCCAACCCCGCGCTAACTCCACCGCCATCATCACCAGGCGCCAGATTGACTCCTGAGCCCAAATCGCAGCTCCTGCTTTACGCCATAAAATGATTCCTGTATTGGTTTCCCCTTAAACCTGGTGGAGCTAATGCAATGTAATGTAAAAATTAGAGGCATAGTGCTACTGTGCTGCATGTCAGCAAGTGCAGATTTGACCGGACGAAGGCCGAGGGAGGGGAGGGTGTGGAGAGGGAGGGTAGAAATCGGACTGGACTTATTGAAGACGGAGAGGAGGAGGAAAGAAGAAGGAGGAAAAAAATCAACCCAATTACCCGACAAGCTACTGTTCTGCAGTCTCTTGCGAGTAAGTCTGATGAATGTGAAATGTTGTAATTTGCGAGTGCTGATAGTGACAGAAAAGTGGCGCAAGATCCGGCAGAATTAGAATCAAAAGGAATGAAAGACAGGATCCGATTTTCCCCTATCACAAGTGTTTTTAGTCCTCGCTTTTTCTCCTTCATCTTTTCTCGCCCAAGTAACCTTTTTGCCTTAATTACTGAGTATCTGTGATCCAGGGTCCTGTGTCGCCACTGGCATCGAGGGGCTTTGCCTGCTCACACACTCACACACACATATCCGGACAGCGTTTGATAATTAGCCAAGCAAAATGAACTTTAATTCTTTCTTTTCAAACGCCGAGATCTGGCCCCATAATTACCGCTGTGTAATTAAAAGTCCCAATCAATCTGTTGGATTGCGGAGTTCTCAATGAAAGAACAGGAGAAATTAGACCTTAATCCTCAGAGCACTGTCTCTTGTCACACGTTGTTGACACACACATTGTCACACGCTTTAACTTTTATATTCCAGCTCCCCCAACCCTTAAAAGACAAGCCCATTTTTGCAGGGCGAGCTTCTTCTTTTCTGCTCCTCACCTCCTCCTGCTAAAAATGTAGAATATAATATAGACCATTATGTTCTTGAAAAACTCATTACAGCGTTTGAAATGGGAATCTTGGGAAGTCTGTTTAAATATTGCCTCCTCCACATTGTGCGAGAATGATGGGGGAGACACATTGGGGGACGTGGCATGCAATTAAGAGCAGAATGGATTAGTTTCCTTTTTAAAGTTATTGAGACACAATGAGGGGAGAGGCTTTCTCTGTATTGATGGCTCCCCTGTAAGCCCCATCCACTCGCCCTCTCTCGTTTTAATGACAGTTTGCATTTCACACTACAGGAACCAAGGAAAACCCTTTGGCCTTTTTTTTTTTCCCTGTGAAGAGTGAAGTGATAGAGAAAAGAGGTGTGACAGAGCCGTTTGACTCAGGCGGGTCGTGGCTGTCGTGGTGTGGAGAGGAATTAGCCCAAGACAAACATGTCAAAGACTAAAAAGGGCATTACTTCTCCCTGCGTGTTGTAGCAGCCCATTCTTCTCCGCTCAGGCCGTCATGAGAGTCACAGAATCCGGAAAGTTTGCAGCCAGGCAGAAATTTCTGGGGCTCGCTTGTATTTTATGAGGCTTGAAGTGCAGATGATGAAGCTTCTTTAAAACTAGGTTGAAGGTTTGGTTTGTGCAAAGAGGGCGCAAAAAAGTAGAGGCACCCGATCCTTTCATGTTATTCATGAATTCAGTAAACCAGGTGTATGTTCTTGTTGATTTTGAGTTGGGAGAATTGTGTCCAAAGGTGCAATAGTATCATGATGAAGTTGAAATACATGACTGAATGAATTTGGCTAAATTAGTTGAGTACGTCCACACACACGCTTCCTTCTACTTCCTGTCCCTCATAAGATACCTAATTAGATAAGAAAGGAAGAAGGAAGGATGTAATGTCACACAGGTGTATAAGATAGAGTGACCATATTTTGACTTCCCAAAAAGAGGACATGACTACGCAGGGGCGGAGTCATGGAGTCGCACAAAGTTAATTTTGAGTTTTTCGGGTCAGATTAAGTGTCTTTTATGAGCTTCTAACTCAGTAAATCCACATGACACAAACTCAGATCTTCCGCACAAAACCGCAGACATTTGAAGGACATTTTTTAAACTTCCCCTGACAAACCAGGACAGCCCCTAAAAAAGAGGACATGTCCAGGTAAAAGAGGGTGTATGGTCACTCTAGTATAAGAGCAAATCTGTTTTGGGGGAGGGGCTCATAGAAGGTAAAACCACAGACTGTATATACTTCAGACAACTTGGCTCCGCCTTCTGTCATTATACAAATTTGAAGCCGAATCGCTCTCTGTATTTTTGTGTTTTTCTCCACTTCTTGGAGCGACCACTTGTGCAGTAGCGTTGTACGCATTCGGCGGGAGAGTCGATGTGATGACACTCTGCTTGAAACAGCGTATCCCCGAGTTAGCAAGGCAGTCTTCGTACGCCCATTGGCTATGTCACCAAAGGGTGCCGTTCTCGTCGTGGCTTCAGCGAGGAGGCAGACAGCGTCCATTCGATATCCAGTGTATGGGTAAAATGTTTAAACACTATTCAGCAATGTGCAGTATCTGTGCCATTGTGTAGCTCTTGTAAATCATGCTGCTGCTACTCTGCCAGCTACCTGTAGATAGATAAGAGGAGCCAACCGTGTCATTGATGGTTGTGAGGTTTGTACCCACTGCCCACGACCAATTCATCAAGACTCGCACCACACATCTCTGACTCTTTTCAACCTGTGCAACACAAGGTTTGTGTACTTTTGGGTAAACCACTTATGTTTTTCAATGCATAATTATGATATAATGAGGAATAAAGGGATTGATAGAATGTGTATCCAGCATGCCTATTCGTGTGCCATCAATGACTTATTCGCACTACAACTTTCTTGCAGTCTGCTTAAGTTTACATCTTTGAACTCCTGAGTGTCTCTTTGCTTTAAGCAAGCAAATGCCTCAAACCTGTTTCAAATCAGCTCCTAGCACAACTCGTACTCACTAAGATTTCTAATGATTTTTTTAATGGCCGTTTTCTTTTCTCCACCTTAAAAACCGAAAATGATCCTTTAAGATTTTTAAAAAGCTGTGGATTTTATTTTTTCGTATCGCTAAGATTCCCCCTGTGTTTTCACCCCCTCTTATCACTAAATATGGGAGTTAAAGCTTCCCCCCATGTCTTACCGCTATCCTCCTCTTAAACATGAGGGGGAAAAAAGTTCTGAGGTGGTGAAATATGCAAAACTTTGTGAGCTGAACCCCTTCCCGATGGCCTCCGCTGCTCTCAAACCACTAATATCATCCTGCATAGGCCCCCCAAAAAATTCATGGCTTATGATTAAACACCAAGCATATATTAAATTAAACCATCTCCCCATTTTAAAGAGAAGAGGTTAAAAAACTGCATTAATCGCGTCAGGTATGAGAAATGGTATGATAATCAGCCTCGTTTGGAGTCTATCCCGCTTCGGTTACATGGACCGCTAATCCAAACGCGGCTCCTCTGCTTCACCTGAAAGCTCTCCTGATCCCGGCTGAATTCTAATGATTGAAATGAAAGGCATCAGCATGCCAAATCACATAATGGAAAATCCAGAACAAACGCTCTGACCCCCTCCCGGCCTTTTCTTTCACTGTGTCACATCTTATCTGACTCCTTATTCTATCAGCAGAGGTGGGGCACAATGAAGACACAAGTCTGTGTGCTAAATCATACCAGAACGAGACTTTAGACCCATAGATCAGTTTACAGATATTTTTATTGTCGTTGTAAAATCAGGCGTTGAGCGTCATCTCCAACCACGATCATCAACTCATTTAAAAGTTATGTATAATAGTTGTTATTGGAACAACAAGCTAATGCTACCACGGATAAGCCTTTGGTCATATCAAAAAGGGTCCTTAGTCATAATTCCTCAACAGAGATGATTTACGAAGTTGTCTTTACTTAAAGGGATATTCCGGCGTAAAATTAAGTTAGGGTCAAACACACTGTAACACTGAGTTAGACGCTCCGCAGAGAGATGAATGTTGCCGACCGCTTGCTTCTCTAGTTACACCAATTTTAGTAATGACCGCACAATAGCAATACACAGAGAGCCAAGGAAGAACATTTATGATCAGTTCTTTAACATATCCTTGAAGCAATAATCAACCTATTGATCATTTTGCACTGCAGATGCAGTAGTTCTTCTGCCTTAGCGTCTCAGTCTGATTGCATTTCCATGAAGAAATTATCATAAATGTTCTTCCTTGAGCTGTGTCACCCCGCTGCAGTGGATGGACTCGCCAGAGGTCTCACTACAAACAAGCAGCTGCTGGAAGAGAGTGTGTGAGTTGTGTTTAGTCTCTTTGCTAAAGAAATCAAAAAAGTTAAAAAGATGTTTGGTGGCTAGTGCTATGGCTGAGAATCTATGTACTGTTGATGAAGTTAGGTGTTGTTCTGGGCATTATTTGTGGCTATAGAGTGGCGTTTTGGTTGAGTGCGTGGCTCTCTGTATTGCTTCATGCAGTCGTTGGTATAACTAGAGAAGTAAGCATCATCTCTCAACGGGGTGTCTAATTCAGTGTTATTGTGTTTGACCTTAACTAAATTTTACACCGGAATATGCCTTTAATTGCCTCTAAACTGTGACTACAGTATGCTCTGATACTAAGTGAACCCCTGATGTACCGTGACTTTTAAGCACTTTTTACTAATGCAGAAAAAAGACCTCCAGAATCATTGATACACGTGTAGATTATTGTGACTTTGGTTGTTTGGTTAACAAGAATTATCATTGTTTTCTATCCATGTTTGTGTGATTAATTCATAAATACGCATATACTCACAGTCTGGGGTTTGCACATACATTTCTATTGTCTGCTGGTTGACGAGTTTACCGAGTGTCCGACTAATGACAGTGTGATTTTTGTCCACAGCTGCAGAGAACTACTTAGGTTAAAAGTGTGAAAAAACTGAATGGAGTTTGGTGAAGTTCTTACAGTAAACCAATGCTCATGGATATGAGTATAATCTTGGAACAAATTCAGGAATCCGAAATAGTGATTATACACACACATACCCACTTCCACAGACTCACACTGAGTGGTCCTCCATCACTGCTGCCACCCCTTCATCACACTGAAGCAGCCTAATCACTCACTCTGTATCCTAACCAAAACAAAATGGTGCCAACCAGTAGCTTTTAGCTGTGTTTACACTCCTAACTCCCACCTCCCTACTCCTCTCCCCCTCCTCTCCCTCCCCCCTCGGCGGCTCGTGGCGGCATGGGTGATTAATTTGGGCCGTGCAGACAGGTAAACACAGGCCTATTTAGATGGCTTAGCCGCCACCATATTTATACTCAACAGGACTAAGCTTCAGATAGAATATCCTCAAAGCTCCCATCTGTTTATTTTCTCTAACTGCTCCTCGAGCTCCGTCCTGACACCCGCTCTCTACCTTCTTCTGCCTTTAAGCTCAGCTCTCCTTCCCTCCTCCCCTCCTGACCTACCTCACTCTGGGGTCAAACTTGGAGTACTTTCTAGACCAGAGGTGGCTACTTCTTACTTTTCCATCGAGTTTCCAAAAATACTCACAATAGATTTATATTTTTAGTGTTTTTCCATCGTTAAAAATACTGCAGCTCTGTAGGGGTTGCAGTCTATGTGGTTCTATCATTTTTGCATATGACGCAGATTAGATCTTAATCTGACATTTTTCCATATTTTCATTGAGGATTTGAATAAATGGATGTAAATCCTGTTGTTTATCACGGTCAGTGATAGCTATGCAAATAAAAAAAGACGTTACCTGCGTCGTCTTGGGCATCATCAGCATATCATGTCAATAGACGACAACAAAACTGTCCCCCTGACAGAGCAGGTCTAGTTCACACAGTAACACGAAAAAAAGATGCAGTGAGGGACACAAACGGCACAGACAAAACAAACAGATAAAATCTGACAGACTGTTTCAGAAAATCTTTGAATCTCTGATGGTCGCTTCAGATTTAAACAGACCGGACTCTGGCGTGACGGTGGCGTGTGTCTGACTCCGCCTGGTACATTCAGTCCATTTGATGTAGAGATACGAAAAGAAAGTACACAAGAAAAAAGGGATCTGACTTCAGAGTTTAAAGTCATAATTCTGCCTTTGTATTTTGTCTTTTAACCTGAATAATTATTGAAAATTATTCCTTCAGCTTTTGTTTTGCTGTTTACTTTTTAGTCAATATCAGACATTGTTAACTCAAAAGTTCACGATTTATAGGAACAGGAAATTTAAGTAAGAATCCTGTTCAAATATGATTTTGCCTTTAATTGTTTTACTAATTCATCTAAAAATTCCTTTATGAGTAGGATTTACTTTTAAGATTTCTTTTTGTAAATCAAGAAGAAATTCTCCCTCATGTCAGATTTCTGTCTCAAAACTTGGATCAGAATTTAAGTGTGATTGCAAATTTTTAAGATATTACCTGCAAAATTTCTCCCTACGGGTGAGGCCTTAAAAATATATGATCAACTCTTTTTTAAGATAAATACAAGATAAGCTGTACCAATTTGTCCACTAGTATTTCCTTACGGAAAATCGAGCCGAAAATTAGTGCCGGTACTCTCCTTGTTCAGTTGTTGGTGTGTTGATCAGTAGATCATATTGTCTATTCCTACAAGTAACTAAAGGACACAAGTAATGATGCAACTTTTCTTGATATATAATTTTAATGATCTCATTTAAGACCCAAAAAGAAAAAAAAAGTCAGACAAATAAGTTCACACAGATGAGTTCAAAAGTTGTTTTTTGTAAACGTTTCTCAATTATCTTAAAGGTAAATGTCCTTAAAGTTGCATGTTTGAATTTCTTCACTCCCCTTGTGTTTTGGGTTTGTGAAAACTCTCATAGAAAGCTCCAGTCAATCTTGTATTTGTCACGTGTTTAAGCAAATCAAGAAAAGGAAGAATAAAACTTTATAAAATGCGATCTGAAATGTATAAATTTGATTATGTATTCAGAGATATCTCATCTATAATTTAAGTTTAATGACATTAAAGACTTTTATGGCCTCCAATCTTAAAAATTGAACTGGAGTAACTCTGATAAACTTCAGCAGCTTTGTTGTGTCGTGAAAAGAATCATGAGGCCTCCACAGATTACCTTTGTTTATCCAAAAAGAGGAGACCTGTGAGCTGACGTAAACCTCACCTAACTCTCTCTAGCTTTAGCAGACCGATAAATGACGTGTATCACCAACACGTAGTCATCCATGGGTTAAGTATATTAGGTGCTTGTAAGAACCACAGAAAGAAAGTGAAGAGGATAGAAAAGTCATTTAAAAGTTTCCAGTCAGCCAAAAAACTCCTGGTATGACTAGGTGTTAGGAGACGCACAAACATGTTGCTGCCCACTTAAAACCGGAAATTATTAAAGGACTGTGAAAAAGCAACATAAAGCTCAGTTCAAGTTAATGCAACATAAAAAAAAACACAGTTTACATCAAGTACAGCCTAACAGTATTCTCAGCAATGTAAAAACTTGAGTGTTAAGAAACTACTGATGTTTGAAGCAGAATAACAAAGTCTACCAGTTTTTTTCTGTCTCTGACTCTGCAAATGTCTGAAAAGCGCTCTATACTACTATGTTTTGATGAAAAAGAAGAATCAGTGTCCGTGTATTCGTCATTTCCACGTACTTCCAATCGCTCGCCCCCCTCTGACGTTACACCAGCTCTACCACGAGTGCTGCAGTTTGTAAAAAAACACGGCGTACGCAGCCTCCTGACATGCTTCACATTCCTGCAGCTGCTGCGAGCACGTACGCCAGTCCCCACCCCGCTTTACCTGAGGTCAGTGATGGGAAACTACGCCGCAGGTTAGAGCCCTCGTGTCATGTGAAGTGACGGCAAAAAAGAAAGAGGCAGTTGCATAAGTTCAGAGATGTCATCTGACTGTTTTCAAGGACAAGGCCTCTCCGGCACTTTGTTATTTCTTGTCACTTGTTTCCACAAATCTCCTTTCTCTTGCCAAACCTCATCTCTTTCTCATTATACAGAAAATGTGCTTCATTAGCTTGTCTGATCAACAGGTGCGGCATGTTAATCTCCAGTCTAAATGTCTTTTTCTTTTTTTTTTTTCTTTTTTCCACTGGTGAATCTTAAGTGGATTGTTAGCGATGAAGACAGCCACGGGAGGAGGGAGGCCAACGGAAAATCCACTACCCTACTAAGTGGTATTATTCATACAAGCAAGTGGCATTAAATACACACATGCATGCCGCGGAATCATACTCAGAAATCGTGCATATGCGATCGCTAATTTAATTACTGATCCGCAGATTCTTAGTCTGCAATCCGTTCTTTGGAGATTTACTGTACGAGCAAATTCTGCAAACATATCATACAAATGTTTTCTCTCTCTGTGAGTCCCATCATGCCTTTGGGCAGGGATAATTACTTATCAACACTAGAGTTCCCTTAAAGGGGTGTCCGAGAGCACACAGGCTGTCTGTTTGTCTGGGGATTTTTATTCCACCAGCACCTCGTGGAGATGATTTGTCTATTATCTCCGGTGGATTTGCTCCTCTCTTCATCTGCAGCGCATTACTGCAGTCATAAAGCTGCAAGGTCAGGGGAAAGGCAGGGAGGGAGGAGGGGGGAGGAAGGAAGAGAGCGTGGAGGGGTGGGGGGGGAGGTTGGTACTCTCCTCTTCTCTCCTCTCCAGACTCGCCTACAGTGGAGCTTTACCCGGCGGAGATGTATGATACAGTAAGCCATCAAACACTGGTGGAGCTGTGCTAAATCAGAGAGTGTGGTCGGAGTAAATATCCGTCATCATCTTTATCTTTATCGGGATGACCATTTCTCTGCGTCTCTGCTTTATGGATGCAGTCACACGCAGAGGAGAGAGTGTCAGGACGAGTGTGACAAAGGTCTTAAAGGGATAGTTCATCTTTCGCGTGAGGCCTGATGTCGCTGCGGTTTCTAAAAGCTTTATCTCAGCTTTCTGCCGGCCTGTTTTTAAGTCAAAGAGAAGCATGAAATGAGCAGCGGATTTCTCAAAAATATCAGTCAAAGCGTTTGTTCGGTCATAAATCTTTACCTGCTTTTTTACTCCAAAGTAGTGACGTCTGCAAATGACCAATTCCTCGCAAAATAACTCCAGCAATATCACCGGATTCAAGATGTGTGTAATAGTGACAGTATCTAAATGAGGATTTTCTATAAATTGTCACGATCAGTAACGTAATCCGCCGCTGTCCGGTCCTCGTCCCCGCAGAGCGAGCCGAAGGTAGCTAAGGGTCATCTCTTCTATTCTACATGCAGACACAGTCCGGCTAATACCATACTTCACAGGCCGGCCTTAATCAGCCGCCGCTCTGACAATGTAATTATGGAAGTGTCCGGGCTCTGCAGTCGGCCGGGGAATTCTAATTATTTACAAGGCTGAGGAGGAGAGCCACAGTTCATCTAAAACCCACGACCTGCTTTTTCTGCACGTCCAGAATCATCTCGAGCGGAGAGCCGGACTGCGGGAGGTTATGAAACACAGACGACGTGAGGAGAGACAGACAGGGAGGAGGAAAAGCTTCATAAGTTTACTTTTGTACTTTTAAGCACAAAAGTAAAATAGAATTAAAAATAAAAACTTCCATTTTGGTTTGGACGGCCTCCTCTAGTCTATCAGTTCACATGTAGTTGTAGATCAACTGATGATTTTCATTCATTCGACGGCAAACTTAATGCCATTAACCTTTAAAAATATAAACTTTACATGTATAATTCGAAATCATAGACAGACTTGTGTTTGTTTGTATCATCCTGCTTCATCGCTGCATTTACAAGCAAGTTCCCAGAGAGAGTTTCATTAAGTTTGACCACAAAGAGTTCTGGTCCTGTAAAGAAATAATCTCACGCCAATTTGTTCACACATATGGCGTCACTTCCCCCCATAGAAATCAGTGATGATTCATACTGATCCTGAGCCGTCGCGAAGTAAACACTTTTTGACTGATTTAGAGATGAGGAAGTACGTTTTCTTTGGCTGAGAAGTGTTGTCAACAGTTGTGGTGACGCACTTGAACATCCTCAGAAAGGTCAACTTTGGTTTTTTGGGGCTGATACTGATTATTAGCAGTTAATGAGACTGAAAACCAGTATTTGGAAACTGGCTGAATTTCCTCTTTACCCTGTAAAATAAGGGTAATACAGGAAATCGGTTTACTGTGTTAATTCATAAAGTTGAAGTTTTGCGTCACTCTGTCTTTGCCTCAACGTTAAGGCTGCGTAAAATACTCAGAAATCTTAACAACTTGAGAACAAAGTTGGAAGTTTATGTGAATGAAGTCATGACGGAAAAAGCCAAATACTAACCAGCAAAAGTTGCAAGTTCATGATAATAAAATCATGAATAAATAAGATTAAAGTTGCAGCTTTTTTTCTAAAACTTCTGCTTACAACAGGCTGAAATTTTTTTAATTGTAAATGTAGATTGAATCTTTCTTGTAAATTCACAAGAAGGTGTAAATTTACAGTTTCTTGTCACTGTCAATGTGAATGTTTTAAAAAGAGCAAATCAAACATTTCCATTAATTCACCTTCTATTTCACTGTATTTTACTCCATCTACAGCTGAGTATTAACTGTCTTTTGTTCTGTATCTTGGATTGACTTGACCTGTTTTTAGTTTAACGCCTGACCTCAGAGCTAAATTTAGGGATGAGTTCATAAAAAGCCCTGGTTTGCTTGGAAAATGGTCAGCTTAAGCAAACTCAAACCAGTAAAGTCTGCGATGATTCAGCCCCAAACCAAGAAGAACCATGTGTACTGTAGTTGTGACAGCAAACCAATAACCTTACAACGTTCCTCTGCAGAGAGCAACAAACTCCAACACCCTGAGCTTGTAGTCTTTATCCTCTCCACTTCACACGGCAGCTGGAAGAGAGCAGCATCTCTCTTATCAGTGTGTGTGTGTACGCTTGTGTACAGTAAAGGCCTAATCTAATCACCACACACTCACTGCTTCCTCCAGGTGTATTACTGTACCAGGAGTGTAATGCAGAGAGAGGGAGATAAGTAATATTGATCTGATGCAGCGATTGTCACTCTGTTGCCTGCCTTGAATAGCTAATCTCTTTTCTCACGGGTCAGAGTGAAGAAAGGCGACGGGGCTGCAGGTTTAACCACAACAAATCTATGAATTGTTTCCAACACAGGGCGATCAAGCTCAGACTGGATGTGAAATTGTATCTCCGAGCTGTTGTTGGCAGAAATAACGATGATTGTGATGATGTTGATAGTGTTAATGGACAAGTTTGGGGTGATTTTAGCTCTGTGGCGAGACACGGAAATGTACTTTGAAACTTGTGAGCACTTTGAAAATATTCTACAAATACAGACAAGACAGAGATCACATGATATATTCACGTCTGTGCCCAGACTGATGGGGCCTCATGGAGTTCAGTAGCATGGGTGGCAGTAGCTCAGGGGGTAGAGCAGTCGTCCAATAACTGGAAGGTTGGCGGTTCGATTCTCCCCTATCTCAAGTCTGTCCGTTGTGTCCTTGGGCAAGACACTTAACCCACCTGAGTGTTGAGTGTTGTGTGGTGGTGGTCGGAGAAGCCATAGGCGCAAACTCGCAGCCATGTTGTGACTGCTACGGTAGTTTATCACCAAGTTGTGACTGTGTGAGCGACTGAATGATGTATCCAATGTAAAGCGCTATATAAAATCTGATGCATTAATTAATTAGTAGCACTCAAATAGGAAACTTCCTTGGCCTTGTGGTCCAAGTGCCTTCGTGTAAAGAGGTAATGGTTCTCCTTGCAGTAGTTACTGGTCCTACTCCCTGATGTAAGTCTTTTCTGCTCTCTAGCTGTCCCATCACACAAAAGCCATTACTAAATATACCCAAGCAAAGAGTTTTGTGCAATTCTTGAATTAATAAAAACTTCCTTATCCATGTTCATTTTCCAGCTCATAAACTTGCTTAAAGTGTCTTAAGTTGGACTGTTTTCACCTGAGAGTGCCGTGAGCATTTTTGGGCTTAGTACACAAATCGCCAAAAGGACTGAGCTGTGCCGGTTTTGTGGAGAAAGCGGACCACCTGCTCTTAAAGTGGCGTTAGACCCTGACTCATCGTGCCTGTGTTAAAAGCCGCTCCAGCTGAGTTTGGATTGAGGACAGGCTGCTCTCATTTGCATTTAGACATTTCAAATTGGGATCTCTCCCATCTCCCATGTGTCAGGGCGAGGTCCTCTTGTATCTCCTCTGCACCCCCTCGCCCCCCTCCTCTGTATACACATCTATCACCCGCTCCTCACCCACATCTCCACCTGCATTGGGAAAGGAGGGATTGATGTGGCGAACACGCCACAGTAGTTTCCATTTACCAAGACCAAACATCAGCAAGCATATCTCTGACACCAAAGGGTCTGCTTGGGTGCCCCCTCTCTCTCCTCCCTCATTCTCATTCCCCCCCTCTCCCCCTTCTCCTCTCCCCCCTCCACCCTTCCCGTCTTTACCCCCGCCATCTCCTTTTAATATAGAAGCTGGAGATGAAAAATGGTGTGCTTTTGTTTATTTGCCACCGATGCAAATGCGACCACAGCAGGATTAGTGAGTTCTCCATCTCTTTGCTGATAGCGGTGGGAAGAAAGAGGGGATTTTTATGCAAAAAAGATCTCTCCCACCCTTGCTATGACAATTGCAATGCATCACTTCATAGACAGTTTTTAATCTGTTTCAAACCAACCACACTTTGAACTGCTGGGAACGCGAGATATACAACTGTGGGTATATGCGTTTGTGCGCGGCTGTGTGTGTGAAGGGGAGTGCTTGTGTGTATGTGCTGTATGTGTTTTCCTGTGATTAATCTTTGGAGTTGGTTTAAGCACACTGCTGACACAGCACAGATCGCCCTCTCTCTCTCTCTCTCTCTCTCTCTCTCTCTCTCTCTCTCCCTCTCTCTCTCTTTGGCTAACTTTGTCTCTCAGTCTGAACGCCCTTGGATTTAGCTTTGAATAACAAAAAGTTTCAATCCTAATTCACTGTTGGTCCATTGTGTCCAACTTTTCTTTCATTGTAAAGAAAACTTCACTCGGGGCCTGTATATTGATCTTTAATCAAAAATCTGCAACACTTAAGCCTCTTAGATTTACTGTACTCGCTCACGTTTCCCTCAGCGGAGACTGCAGAGTGAGAATCACAAAAAAAAAAAAACTTGAAGGAAAAAGCGTCTCTGAAAGCTGCACACAAAGAGATCAGTCTGCGGAAATCTCTCTTTTTTTGTAGGTTTTAAGGACAAAGACGGACGGGAATGAAAAGAGTGACCGCAAAGTCAGAACAGTGATTAATTTCTCAACAACAACATTAACACTAGAGACGACCTGATCGCACTCGTCACATCAAATCAATTCAGAGGAAGAAGCCTGGTGCATTTCTGTTCACATCAACATAAGTTTCCATCTCAGGCTGGTCTTGAGAGTCGGGAATAACAGAGACCAGGTTCAGGTGTGAAGCTACTGGAAAGAGTTGCAACATACAGACAGACTTGTTGAAATTAGAAATTGACTATAGGGGTGAAAGTTAATGAAGTTAACTGTTCCAGCTAGCTAGCTAGCCTGGCAGCTAAGCTACAAGAGCAGTGCTATTTGATACTCAGCCGGACTGGTCTATGTGGACCTTGAAGGCTGGAGCTCCTGAATTAGGACACAGCTAAGGACTCAATGTAGAAGACTTTGAAGTCTGAGCATCCGTGCTTACTTTTTAAGGTTTTATTTGACCGTAAATGAACACGAGTCACAGCTATTTTATCTCAGGCTGACCTGCATTTCAGCTACTGTCTCTTCAGAAGCCTCCTCCACTGTTGCCAGACTACAAAGTCCACTTTTTTTGTTGAAATGATAAATTATCAAAGATCATCAGTTTTCTTTACTTTTGGATACCTTGAAAAAGCAGCAATATGGATTTTGGTCTGCTTCATAAACTTCCACTGAGCAACAGATGGTTATTAGACGTCTAGTTTTTTTTTTTTTTTTAGACCTTATCTCAACTGTCTAGCTTCTATATATTTCTAGACCGAATTTAGATGTTGTGCTTTAACCCATTAACTATTTATATCTATTTATAACAAACTACAACTATCATACTATTTATTTCAAAAAGCAACTGTGTGTTGCATAACTGATCTCCAAGTACTTAACCAGAATAATTATGATAGCCGTTGAGCAATATACAGTTAGACCTCTGTTAGCCGGCTAGTCTAAACTTGGTCTAAATGTAGACCTCGAAAAAAATGTCATTTTTAGACCTGTGGTAGCCTGATTTTAGACCAGTCATCTAGGCTACATTTAGACGTCTACTAGACCTCTTTTAGACCAAAAAAAAATGCTCTGTGGGCGATTAAATGCAACTAATGGCTTTTTGTCTGTTTCATGGCCAGCTTTAAAACTCCACAGTCACTGTGGTTTTATCATCGACTTCTATCAGAGTCGCCTCTGTGGCCATTTCTTGAACTGCCATTTTCTCTGCTTGCACCTTGGCTCAAGTTTTCAGCCCTGAAATTTACTGTTTGTTCTGACGGGACACAAGCTGGACACTTTCCATTTTGGGGGTACATACGTTGTTCTGTGCAAGTCGAACTTGTGGCAGTTTTGGATGTAGAACATGAGATCGCCGCCGTTCAGATACTCCATTTCGAAGAACAAGTTCTCTACTTTAGGATTACAAAAAATAAGTTGTGAATTATGGGGTGTAGCATGAGTAAATCAAACCGTCTCACTCGATTGCCTCAGTTGCATGGCTTCCCATTTTACTTTTTCCCCACTTGATATCCTACAACTACAAATGAAAGTCAAAATAATACCAGAAAACATAATTTTGCACCGTAGATCCCTGAAATAGGCATCATCAGAGATCCTGACCAAGATCACGTCTTCAAAATAAACCCTTAAACCTCTCATTTGTCTGCCGTGTAGAAGAGAAGAAGCCTGTTTGTAGATGAGTTATATAAAGCAGAGTATTACCTGATGTTTATTTCGAAGGAATGACAGACTTTGATTTTTCCAAATCTATCAACAATGATAAAAGCTCGGCTCGTGCACAGAGAGCTGTTAAACATAAAGCCGTATGAGCTTTTCTACAAATGCATCCAATTTCAAATGTTTCCTCTTTAACAGTGAAGTGTTTGGCAGAATAAAAGAGCGGGGTGTGTTTCCCTGGAGTCCATTTCCTCCTAAATAAAGCCTGTCTGCTTACTTTTCTCTGCGTGTACCTTTGATTTCCACGTATTCAGACGCGTCTCAGTGTCAGATCAAACCTTCAAACATCCATCACCTCACTCCCAGGAGAAAGGAGGAAACGCCAAAATCCCAAACCGTCATCAGAGCCGAGACAGATACGACAAACTCTGAGTTTCCGTATAGGATTTCTGACTGACTACACAATTAACAAGGGCTACGGGTGTATGAGTGCGTATCAGGGAAACCGGAGAGAGAAAAGAAGGAAAACACGGGCCTGTTTATCTTTCTAGCTGCTGTTGGCGTCCTGAGGAGAGCGCCTGGCTCGGGGTAGATACCAATGGGACGACACAAAGACGAGATAAAGCGTTAAGACATTTTTTAACTCATCAAATTTAATAAGCCTCATCTCAGACACGCAGGTATTCAGCGCAGCGCTTTTCAGGGAAAAGGTAAACACATCCATTTTGTAAGCTGCTGCAGAGATCCCAAAAAACAAACCTCAAACCTGCAGCTGACACGTATTCTTAACGTGTCAGGGTGACAATAAGATACACTCTGAATAATAGAATAAACAGATACATATTTCCCAATATGCTTCCCTCTCTCTGTCTCTGTAGTTGACACCTCAGCGGCGTGATAAAAGCCCCATCAGAAATACTTTACTTCGCAGCTCCGCCCTTCCTCCGTTCCTCTCCTCTCCTCTCCGGCAGCAGAGGGGCTTACCTGTGCCCTGCTCGACTGACACCTAGCATTCGAAGCGGCTCTTCTGCAGGATTTAATCAGTCGTCATTATGGAGGGAGAGGAGAAAGAGGCAGTGGCACAATGCTGACACAAAGACAGTCTAAGGGGATCTTTGTGCTGTAAATGTGCTTCTCACAGTGGCTGCGTGACAGCTGACGGTGAGTCGCTGAAACACTGATCCACTGTTTCCTTGTAGAGACATCAGGGTGAATACAGAGGTGCCATGGCGTGCGCTGAAAGCTGCCTCAAAGACCTGAATGCTGCACAACACCTGCATGGCTTCTGTGGCGGATTAGGGTGTCAACACACACAATGGCTCAGGGAACTCAATGCCTTTTCTCTCCCCCCTCGTACGCACCCTGACGTCCCCCATTGTCAACCGCTCTATTTTATTTATCGCCCCAACAGCTCAATGGGGAATTAAGCGGCGAGAAAATGGCGACAGGTTATTGAAAAATATTTATACACTTTGAAAAATAAACATTTTTCAGTTAAAGTTGGTTTCAGGCGGGGATTATCCCGAGAAGGTGACAGAGGTTGTTGTTTCGTGTTCTTCGCACTTTTGGGGGACTTTGGTGACATCTGCCTCTGGTGCAGCCTTGAGCCTGCGGAGGGAACAAGATGGCGGAAAATATGCACCAAAGAAGAAGAAGAAGAAGAGGAAGAAGAAGTCCATTCCAGTGCAACAGATGGAGCTGAGGCGGCGGAGGGAGGGGAAGGATAAGGGAAGGCTGGTGAGTCTTCAGCAGGAGAATTTTGGCAGGACGGTAAAGAGTGTCGGAGCCTGGCAGCGCCATAAAGAGCAGCGGCTCTCCATCCAGCTCCGCTCCACACCTCTCTGGCAGACATGCCATCAGAGGCTTTGTGTACACGGGGCTGTGCACTACTGGAACCCTGGAGAAAAGAGAGCCTGAGGGAGCGGGAGACATGGTGTGTGTGACGAACAACTGCCCTATTATACTTTTCTCTATTATGGTAGTTTCTGGTTCAAGTCAGTCAAAATTTTCAACATTTGCAAAGATTTTTTAAAATTTTCCTCACTGTTGGTTCTGAACTTCTGTGGTGTTTTGGTGCTACAACATACTTGAATGAAAAAGTGCTGCCATGACAAAACACATGTATTAAACCAAACCATGACACACACAGCTTAGATCGTAAAATTCACAAAGTTACAGAGGAGATGGACAAATATCTCAACCATCCATTCCCACTATAAAAATGGACTCAAAATCCCAGAATGCACCAGAAACAAATCACAGAAACTGTGCATTAGCTGCCATTCAGTTAGTGAAGTCAAGTGGTCTCTTGTTGCTCGAGTCTTTGACTTTGCATGACATAAAGATCCTGTGAGCAACTTTTCATAGAGAGGCTGAATTCAATAATTCACACAGTTCTGGTTAAAATAAAATACAAATCTTCCACAATCTTGCTGCTGATGGTGCTTTAAAATACTGTTTAAAGGGATCAGCATGAATTTAAGTCTATTCCATAAACTTGGAAAAAAAAAAAAAAACTCATGTAAGTTTTAAACTTTGTAAACTAAAAGTTTTTGTTTTTGACCCAAACAGGAACAGATCAACTTTCAAAGTGCAGGAAAATATCAAAATACCACAAAAACAGACCTTGTTTGCTCATTGGCATTATTGATTCTAGCTAACATTTGTTCATATGATACTCTTTTCAACATAAATTCAATCTATTGTTTAAAAGTAAAGGATCACATGGATGGCTTTGACTATTACTGCCTTCATCATAGCAGCGTAAGGATTTTGCTTTGGCCAAAAGTTTGTTTCTTTCAAACTAAAACTGCTACAATAAACCAGTATTTACAACAACTTAAAAAAATAACGTATCTATATTAATATGTTGATATCATACTATAAAAAAGAAGTAGAGGCTTTGGCTGCTAGCGAGCTAGTTGTAGCAACTCTCTGAGAGATGTAAAAACTGTCCTTCAAAGTTTATCAAAAATCAAAAATGTTGTACATCCGGTTACTAATCAACTGAACATTTAAACTTTACCCAATTCATTCACTAGAAGCAGTATACTTCAAAATAAAAGCCCAGTTTTGCTTAGAAACAGACCTAAAGATTAAACAGACAGAATTACAAAATAAAAGCATGACAAAGAGTCGTTGTATCGTCTCCAAAGACGTGTCAATCATGGTGATGTTTTCTCATAAATATGTTATGGCCACAACATTTGTGAGGTGAAAATCTTTTGTTTTCTAAAATATATTTATACAGTTTGAACTAAGAAAAGAGCAAAATAGGATCTAGGTTTACAAAACTGAGACTCTGTTTGGTCAGCCATGTCCCATTCAGTGATTTCTCATTATAAAACAGGGAATTGCGGTCTGCTTATAAATAGTAACCGCCAAAGATTTAAATCAGATCATCACATACACAGACCAAAGTTCATGAGACATTAGAGGCATGAATGTTCTTTGTTTCAAATACATAAAAACCTTAAATTTTACACAAACTCAGGTTAAATTTAAAAGCATGCAAATCTCTTCCACATGTTCACAAACACCGTGCATGATCCTTCATTAACATTTCTGTTAACCAGGAAAGAAATAGTGTAAACTACACTGTGAGGCTGCTAACATTCCCCACACCCTGGATAAATAAATGACTCCCGTTTAACTCGGACTCACACTCCATATTTTATCCCAGTCAGAGTAAATCTCTTTAACACCGCTGTAGCCTTCCTTCCTCTGCTGCCCTTCAGTGACAGTGTTAGCAGAGGAACAGTAATGCAGTAATGGTATCAGAGAATGAGGCCCTGAGCGCTGGGCTTTGACGGCTCGCCGGCCGATGATGGATGTCTTCAGAAACTAAACTACTCCGTCCTCTGCAGCCCCAGAGCGCTGCTGTTGCGTGTTGGGATCCCCTGTTGTAATTCCACGATGGATATTTGAGAACGGGAGTGTGTGCGTGTGTTTGTGTGTGTGTGCGAACATGCACGTAGACGACTTTAAAGTGCTTGCATGTGCTCAGACTTGGTGTGTGTGTGTGTGTGTGTGTGTGTGTGTGTGTGTGTGTGTGTCCTGCTTGAATGAACTTGGGAGAGTCGGAGGCTCTTAGCGTGGAATGTGAGGGATGTTATATAAACACATTACCGACAGTACCAACGTACAGCCGTACACACTGCTGGCGCCAGCCCCGCGCTGCATTAGCTGACATTTTATACAAAAATGGTGAAAATGGAGCGTCTGAGGGAGCGGCGGCGAGTTCTCTGGTTCTCACCAGACTCTGTTTGGGTTGAACTTGTTCTCTTTTTAGCCTTCTTTGACTCTTGATTGCTGACTCTGCCTCCCAAAGGGACTCTCAGGAGGTGCTGCGGTCAGTCAGTCCAGACGATTTAAAAGGGGGAGTCTAAAGGATTTGGTAATTTACATCAAATACAGGAGAGGGGAAATTAGTCCAAGCGCTAAATTTGATCAGGTTGCATGACAAAAGCAAACGTGCAGCATACATAGTCTAGCACATGAAAGCACTTCCTGTACGTTTTGACACAAAAATGCACCAAAAATGGTAAACAAACGCAAGGAAATGTGCACACTTGAAATCAAACATACACACGTGTTCTCACATGCACACCAAAAACGAACACACCGACTTTGAAAAAGCAATTAATTCCAGATAGCGAAGACATGAAAGGCAGCGGGATGCTGTGAACATTAAAAGGCACAGAAGCCCGAGCGTTGCTTTCCTGCGTGTCTTTAAGGCTTTCTCAATCCAGGCCCCTTTCTAAATAGGATTCAATAATGTCCAGGTTGCTTGTTTTTAACTTCAAAGATTTCTCACCAAACGGCTTAAGTCCAACAGAGAGAGGAAGAGAAGGAAAGCACAGACAACTCATTAAATGTCAACCTTCACTTTATTACATTGTACCCAGCTTTCCAGCGTCTGCAAAGTGGTTTCACTCCTGACATGGGGGAGCAGGTTAGAAAACTGCTCTCCGTCGCTCGTGGTTATTCAAGAAATGAGACATTGCAGGACAAATGACCATTGTCTGAGGAGAGAGGGGGAAGGCTTTGAAATTTGTGCGGCTGACCAGAGAGAATTCAAGAGGTACTTCATGAGACAAATGCTTGTTTTTGTACCCAAATCACTGGAGGAAATAAGACTGGAAAGAAGAGTAATGGATTATGATTTGTTTATACTCAACATTAGAGTAAGGAAGGAAGGAAGCAGGAGTAGTGAGAGAAAACATAGAAGGATGATAGACGTTACGAGTAAAGGGGGGAGAGGTGAGTATTGGATGAGTCAAACGATGTTGGACTTTATGCCAGAAAACTTGTGTTTTTGTGGATTAACCCAATAAAAACAGAGAAACTAAAGAAGGAAACGTTCCTTTAGTATTGAATTAGACAGATAGTTGCACGTACCTTAAAACAGCAGCCAAAGACTTGTAAATGTGAAAGAAAACTAATGCTAATTGGTACTTGATTGTACCTTAAAAGAGAGCTACATGATCCTAAAATGAAGAGAAAAATAAGCAAAAAAATACCTTGACAGTCTTTTAATGATTCATGAAAACAGAGTCAAAACAACCTCAAATAGTAAGAAAGAAGAAACCAAAGGGTACCTTAAAACAGTCACTTAAAACTATCCCAAAACAAAGCTAACATGATCTTCAATAGGAGGACAAAAGAAACCAGAGGGTACCTGAAAATTGTTGCTTATGTTACCTTAAACAGAGTGTCCACAAAATTAAGAGAGAGAAAAACTCATAGGTACCTTGCAACCATTTCTTTGAGGGTACTTTGTTAAGCTTAGTTGGCGGTGCATCAATTCCTGCTCCTGGCCTGATGCCGTATAAGTTGTCCATGCTTTCTTCCAGTATGTCCTGTCCCCCTTCAGCTACCCTAACCAATAACAGCCAAAACAAAAAGGGTACCTAAAAACGGAAATTGTAAAAACACTAAAAATACCTGAAAAGTCTTAATTACCATACATCTAACGACTTGTTAGAGGTTAAGACTTAAAAACTCCAACAACAGGGTCCCCTGAAACGATCTAACCAAGTCTAAAAGGAGGACAGCTTTGCATGGCCTGTAAAAGGGTTGTTTGGTGTATGAGATTCGGTACATCAAGGGTACCTAAAAACTAGGGTGACCATACGTCCTCTTTTTGAGGGGATGTCTGAGCTGTCTGGGCTTGTCCAGCTTTGTGCAGGGAAGTTTATAAAATCCTTAAAATGTTTGTGGTTTTGTACGAGTTTAGATTTTGTGTCACATGGACTTACTGAGTTAGAAGCGCGTAAAAGACACTCGATCTGACCTGAAAAACTCTCAAAATTAACTCTATGCGACTCTGTGACTCCGCCCCCACATAGTCATGTCCTCTTGTTGGGAAGTCAGAATATGGTCACCCTATAAAACAGACACTGAATAACACACGTAACCACTTTTTTAGAAAAGGCAGAAAACATTACTCGAAGGGTACCTTAATACAAAATGTGAAAGCGATAGTGTTGGTGTTTAGTAACCCACTTTTCACATTTCCAGGCCTGTGGAGTCACATTCAAGGACTGTAATGCAGCTTCATGAAAACATAACATTTATGTCTCTAAAGAGATGTTGCCATGGCCTCTGGCTCTCAAAGGGAAAGTTTGCAATTCTGCGGATAGTTGCTATGGATGACGGTTCAAACTTTTCCAACATCTGCTTAAACAGTATGAATCTAAGTTTTTACAATTACATCATCTGGAAACGCTTTGTCTCTGTGTCAGAGGATGTTTAACGCGCATGACATGTATGTAAACCTAAGACACGGGTCTTGGCCAGTCCTGTTCACGTTGTCCATCAAAAGCCCTCTTTGGGTTTGATATATGTTGTGTGCGCAGAGCGGGATCCAAACTAGCAAGTCAAGCCATCCAGAGAAAAGACAGGGTTGTGTTACAGGTGATGAAGAGGGA